ATTATTGGTCAATATATATTATCGTTTACTCCACCGTGTCTTATTCTGTTGAATGTAAAATGTCTGCAAGTATGCCTGATGTGATATATTTTATTTAATTGCAGACGAATGCCTTTTTTATTCATTAAAATAAATGTTGAAACATCTCAACTAGAACTTTGTGTTATGATTTGAGGGTTACATATACATATGATAATAATATGACAAAACCAATTATTGAACGCCAACGTGAACTAGTGTTTTTATCCAAATGACAAGGCCTACAAATTATAATCTGTTTTTGTTACATGGACTTGGCACGAATTCTCTACTCACTTTCCATACATAAGTGTATGTATTGTAGTGACTTTACATATCACAAGAGGAAAAGAAACGCAACTTTAACTTTACGGTTTAATCAAATAATATTTAAGAGCAATATGTCTAAATGAGGAACGCAACACTTAACTTCGAATACTGGACCGTCAATCCTCAAAATTTCTGAGATTTTGAACAAATGAGGAATTCATTAGGCCGCCGAGATTTATGGTACTCTTATGTACACAAAGTTGAAATAATGGCAGTTGTCAGAGAGATCCCTGACGGAGGTAATTTGGGATTTTTGTTCGATGCCGAACTATTCTGTCGAATTCATCCCACAATTGTTCGAGATTCACGCGAGAAGAGCACGGACCTCAACCGTCACATAGGGAACGTCTGGGCACATGTGCCGTCAACCATAGCGATACGACGTGCCTGACGTTGAAGTGGCAGTGGCAAACCAACTTATTATCGATGTAGACGTAACCTTGCCTCTCGCAGTCTTTTTCTCACAGACATAAAACCAACCGACTTTTAGATGATTCGTGATCTCCGAAGTGAGTAGCGACCTGTTGTTGAGTGCTACCTTTATTGACCATTGCGAAAGTTCTTCCTCTGTCATGTTGGCATAGCCACGGCACATTTGTAATGCATTGGCGATCACGCGTCTTGGTGATACCAAGAAATCGACTTACAGAAGTCTGAACGGGAAAGAACGCATGCAATTTAGGCGCACCGGATGTTGATAAGTTTTTTGTCACGGATGACGGATTTTTAAACATTTATAGGGGTTTAAGCAAGGTGCCTTAATATTGCTCTTCCTTTTCTGATGACTATGTATATTCAAAACAAAATATTTTACAATTAAAGAAGGTGCGTCTCTTTATCATTCCAGTATATATGTATGGGCTGTAGGAATTCGTGTCAAGTCCCTGTGGTTTATATCGTAATCAGTCTGTATAAAATGAGTAACTCTGTGCACAGAAATCTCAATAGGAACGTTGGCTGTTAAACATCTACATGCAATAATGTGATGGAACCATTTCTATCGGTTGGGAATGAATTTACTGAGCAGGGTAAGTAGTATGACCATGGTCACTTCAGACAGACGACATGAAATTTTGACTGGCAATACAGTATATTAACCTGCTGGATTTATTTTGTAATCTGATATCAGGATATGAATATACATTACAAAGTCAGGTAACTGCAGTATAGATGTAGATTCTTTCAGCTCTATTAATTGACTACGACGAGAGAAATATAGAAATCGTCAATATTTCCTAAATAACTTACTTGTGCGATCGTCTCGGGAATATGTAATTTATGACAGGTGTTAGCGAGACCAGGTCCGTTCTAGATAACAGCGGTCAAATTTGGTCTGCAAGTAGAATTCAGTAATTTGATAGACTAATATAGCTTTAGCGGTCGACTGTGGTCTGTGATTTTAAGAAACTCTTGTTGAAATTCCGAGATTTAGTCATCTAGAACTAGAGATAATTATATCAACTAAACGAATCAGTCCGACACACTAATAATGATATGTTATTCTTGAAGTAATTAGTGTTCAAATTTCCAATAAAATTAATTTCTTTTTATAAAAAAAGGGCAAAAAATAAAAACAAAAGGCCTAGCGGCCTTGACGGTCACTTGAGATAAGCAACATCGAATATAAAGGTTAAAGGATAGTTATCAAGTGTCATGAAACAGAAATTGTGTCACTGGAAATAGTAAGCCAGTGTCAATACATACATACTATCAAATCAATAATCCTAAACTAACAAGTCTTACAAAGTTATTTCAAGTGGGAAATAACCAACGTTATGTTCAAAAACACATTTTTTGAAAATGAAAATTACAGTAAAGTCTAAAAGAATATTCCTCCCCAGGAAAAATTGTGAGACTCATTTTGTCTCGGGTGACCTAAAAAAGCAAACAAAAACAAAAAAGGGTTTAAGAAGTGTTTGTTTTTAACTTAAGAACTAGGTTGGGAGAGCCTGGAGCTTACTGTCTAGCAATGGAAAATTAATAATTGATGAACACGACAGGCCTCTACGCCAATCTTTAACCTCTATCTTCACTTACAATACAAGGTTGCTCTCAATAATACGGTTTTAGTGACAGACGAGGAAATTCACAACACAGGGTTTCGAGATGTGTAATCTAAGGCATGCTCTGTATAATGGAATCCAATATTTAGCAAATATATAAAACTCTACGAAATATGGTTAATTAAATATTAATAATTAATAGTCTATAAGAGATTATTTAAGGTGCTGCTACCATTATGGTCCTAAGTTGTAAGATTTCTGGACTAATGTCAATCCTATTCCATGTAAATGCTTTAACAGCAGTCAAACCGGGCTCCTTCTGTAAGATACTAGAATTGTTTCTGATGAGCTACTGTTACAGGAGGGTTTAACAATTGTTTAGTTATTCACTGACCATGAAAGTGTCAAATCCAATTTATCACACGTGCCGGGAGGGTTGCATTTTAATTTTACCTTAGATAATTCTCAGTTTAAAACACTCTGACCGAACTTGATAGTAAAATATCAGCTTAAATAGATGTCTTACAATTCCACTCTTTGCTACCTACTGTCAACCCCTATAAATCGTTATAAGTCCAATCACTCCTTTGCCAACTCTCCGAAATTGGCTTAAGTCATAACTAGCTACAGAAATCTTGGATACCGTACCATAACTACAGCCCTAATTTCTTCAATATGTGGCATATACCTGTATATGACCAACTTAATCTCTGTATAGTCAGAACTCTAGAAGTATATCTCTTAGCAATTATGATTAATAAGGATAATCATACAAGAAACAGACTTATCAGCATCATGAAACCGCAAAAAGCTTGCAGAAAGCTGGAATACCATCGGTAGATAGATTAAAAATATTATGAGGTTGGCAGGAGTGGACATTCATAAGTTTACTGCACATTCTACCAGAGCTAGTACTTCTAGTGCTGTCCTGTGGGTTGGTATGGCCATATTGGACACAATTCTTAATACAGGCAGATAGTCTAAAGCTACAACATTTCAAAAGATTTTATAAGAAAGACACAATGATATATTCACAGAATCATGGTGTGTCATTCAGTGATGGTGTATTAAACAATATCTATATAACAGTGTTTTTTTATCTATAGAGCTGTAAGTCAGCAGATGTAGTGTATAGTGTGGTGATCTTTTTCTGGTTCACACTGTTTTTCTGTATATTACAAGAGTTGTTATGATTAAGTTTTTTCAGGTATATGCATACATACAAGTATATGACCAAGGCACAAGACATTGCTGTCAGTCAAACAGATAGATGAATCATTGTTTAATCATCAAAGAACACATTATCTCTGAAATCTCATGTTATCCCTGATATATCGATTTGATGGAATTTACAAATTAAACATGTATTACATAGTAATATGAAGTTTGATTACAACTCTACCAAATAAACTCAATACTGAAGGAACAGATCCCCACCCTTTTACACCACACGCAAGTGATTAACTCGGAAAATTCTGGCCATAGACACTAACATCATGCTTGGAATCTGTTTTCTGACTAGTAACATAATGTATTCAATAATGCTTCCTTTCAAAACTGACCATATGACCATCTAAGTCATCTCATGTAATCCCCCCCATATTAAGTTGATTTGATAGACTTATAACCAAACTTCATATTATATTATATGTAATAATAGTTTGATTTGTAAATTCTGGGGTTCCAAACGGTTTCAAGGTTATTTACGAGTAGGTGTGTTAAAATTCAAATCAGTAACATCTATTCAACACTATGACATTAACGACACATTACCACATGATATACAGAGCGGAAAAAGTAAAAAATCCAATAAAAAAAAAAGAAAAAAAAGACACACCTATTATATAATGTGCAATGAGGTGTGTAGATAAAAGATATCTATAAGATAAATATCTATGTACTTCCTAAACCTAGTGGCAGAGACCATATTTGATACTACATATATGTAAAAGTCAACCTGATCCGATCCAAACCAAGCTCTACCAAAACTGAGCCAAAGAAGCATGGTCTGTCAGCTGAAGACAGAGACTGTAGTTAACTAAACTGACCTGCTCTAATCCACAGCTCTACCAAAACTGAGCCAAAGAAGCATGGTCTGTCATCTGAGAGACAGAGACTGTATTTAACTAAACTGACCTGCTCTAATCCACAGTTCTACCAAAACTGAGCCAAAGAAGCATGGTCTGTCAGCTGAGAGACAGAGACTGTATTTAACTAAACTGACCTGCTCTAATCGACAGTTCTGCCAAAACTGAACTAACGAAGCATGTCCCTTCAGCTGAGTGACGTATTTCACATGATGTAAAAATTAAGCCAACCTGCTGTAATCCAAGGCTCTCCCTACTGAGCCAAATAAGCATACTTTGTCAGCTGAGTGACAGAGATGGTATTTAACAATAATTACACATTTATGTCACTTTGCCTGTTTTGTCAGAGAGCCAGGTAAAGTAAACAACAACAGACAATATAACACTTTAATTTTAGTTGGTTCAATTTAATGATCCAAATAGTTTGATTTAAAGATGAACATAGATAAGTATGTACATGTTATAAGTTTGTACCAAAATGTTCATATTGAAATATTAAGAAATATTCTACAATAGACAAAAACAAACAGATTTTAAATAACATAAACATGTAAACTTCTCATACTAACAGTAGGAAAAACAAACATAGAAATATGCAAATTAAAACAAACATCAGGAACAATATTGTGCAATGAATGTTGATTCAAATTAATTTCCTGATATTCTGCTTTTAAATGCAAAATAACTCCCATTAATTCTGGTCAATTGTGTGTGACTTCCAAGCCAAATTTATCTGGATAGTTTAAAATACAGACTAAAGTTTGAATACTTTCAAAGTATACATGTAAGTCATAACAAGAGGTCCCAGAGGTATCTTGGCACCCACCAGTGTTTGAACTTTATAAGTTGGACCTGAACTTTTCTCTCCAGAAGATCCCAAAATCAAACAGATACAACCATAGACCAAAGGGAACTTACATATAAAACTTGAGAATGATTCATCCATTAAAAACTGGCTGTAAAAAGTATTACATTGATCATGGTCTAGTTGAAAATTAAGAGTTATTGTGAATTAAAAAACCCTGCAGGGCCAATGAATCAAGTCTCAAGTACCGTTGCTTCAAGTTTTCAAAGTATTTTTTGTTAATATATAAATTTATATTGATGTGGAGAAGATTTACCTCCAATTCCAAACTATTCATGGTTTTTAGCTTGGTGGTATGCCAGTGATACAAGAGTTATGTCCCTTGATTTAACTCTGAGATGAGGTGTATTTTATTGCATACAGGAAGACATAATCCCAGAATTTTCTTTTTAGTGCTATATAAAACCGTGTTATTTTCTCCCAGTGTTAAATTCACACTGATATAATTTAAAACATTATATTTAAGATTTATCATCCTATAATCAGTTGTAGAACAGGTCCCAATATGATTTTCATTTGTTATATTCCAGCATTCTAATACTTCCAAAAAATTAAATAATCCTCCATTACATTACAGATGCATATCCCATAAACACATGACAAAGTGAGGCACATACTAACAGACTAGCAGACAAATAGAACTCTTGAACTCCCTTGTAGCACCAGTGGATAAATATTGAAATAAAATGTAAATCTGAAATTGATAGATATTGAGATATCATTTTTCTTCCCTCATTCTTTTTTTTCACATTCAATTAATTATTGATGATTTCTATACAAATATTCCGCATAGTAAATGTCACCACACTAATAGTACTTTACAATGAACAGTACAATTATTTGTGCACTTCCTCAAAAAGGAAATATTAAAATAACATGTATAGGTCCCTATACATTTGTAATTATATTCTGAGAATATTTAGAAAATCCCCAACAAAGTACTTGTGTAGTTTCAAGGAACTTAAACTTAAAACATGATAAATAATATTTTGATAATATCCCATCAAAAATACTGTACATTTAAAAGGCAAACAAAGAATTTGTTAATTGGAAAACACAAATGAGGTAGATCCCTTCTATTGAAGATTCATTCCACGATATGATCATTTTAAGTCGTTGGTGAAGTATATCATGGTAACCAGAGGCTTTCTATTTACTCCTGTATTCTCAACTCTTGTATTTCTCTTTGAATCCTTTGTAAAGTGAGTTCATTTCCTCATAAACTTTGAGTGACTCTTCCAAAGAAAAATTGATCTGTAAAGAAAACATTCAATATTCAATTTCTCATACAATGGCATATGAAATACAGAAAACTTTAAAAACAAATTCTACATTTCTGGAAACAGATATCAGATTGAACTGTAGTGTTCCCAATCCACCAGAAACTGTACAGAATGGACTGCAGTGTTCCCCACAGTTGAGGGCACAGTTCTACATACACCAGAAACTGTACCTCTACAGGTTGGAATGTAGTGTTTCTACAACATCAGTATAACTGTAAAGGTAGGAATGTAGTAGTCCCTAATACATCACCTATTGTAAATGTAAATGTTTGATGGTAGTGTTCCCTTATACATCAATATACATGTACAGACTCAGCTGTAGTGTTCCCTCATACATCAATATACATGTACAGACTCAACTGTAGTGTTCCTCATATAGCAGCATACTTGTGCAGACTGGGCTGTAGTATTGCCTCATAAACCAGTGTATATGTATATGTTGGAATGATGTGTTCCCCCATATATCAGTGTAGCTATAGTGTTCCCCATATATCAGTGTACCTGTAGTGTTTACCGATATATATATGCAAACCTGTACAGGTTGGGCTGTAGTGTTGCCCCATACATCAACGTACCTGTAGCGTTCCCGATCATTTGCATACCTGTGCAAGTTGGGCTGTAGTGTTCCCCATACATCAGTGTACCTGTAGTGTTTACCTATATATATGCGAACCTGTACAGGTTGGGCTGTAGTGTTCCCCATACATCAGTATACCTGTAGTGTTCCCCATACATCAGTGTACCTGTAGTGTTTACCTATATATATGCGAATCTGTACAGGTTGGGCTATAGTGTTCCCCATACATCAGTGTACCTGTAGTGTTCCCTATACATCAGTGTACCTGTAGTGCTTACCTATATATCTGCAAACCTGTACAGGTTGGGCTATAGTGTTCCCCATACATCAGTGTACCTGTAGTGTTAACCTATATATCTGCGAACCTGTACAGGTTGGGCTGTAGTGTTCCCCATACATCAGTGTACCTGTAGTGTTTACCTATATATCTGCATACCTGTACAGGTTGGGCTGTAGTGTTCCCCATACATCAGTGTACCTGTAGAGTTTACCAATATATCTGCATACCTGTACAGGTTGGGCTGTAGTGTTGCCCCATGCATCCGTGTACCTGTAGTGTTCCCCATACATCAGTGTACCTGTAGTGTTCCCCATACATCAGTGTACCTGTAGTGTTAACCTATATATCTGCGAACCTGTACAGGTTGGGCTGTAGTGTTCCCCATACATCAGTGTACTTGTAGTGTTTACCTATACATCTGCATACCTGTACAGGTTGGGCTGTAGTGTTCCCCATACATCAGTGTACCTGTAGAGTTTACCAATATATCTGCATACCTGTACAGGTTGGGCTGTAGTGTTTGCATCCGTGTACCTGTATGCATCATCGTGTACCTGTAGTGTTCCCCATACATCAGTGTACCTGTAGTGTTCCCCATACATCAGTGTACCTGTAGTGTTTACCTATATATATGCGTACCTGTACAGGTTTGGCTGTAGTGTTCCTCATACATCAGTGTACCTGTATTGTTTACCTATATATATGCATACCTGTACAGGTTGGAATGTAGTGTTCCCCATACATCAGTGTACCTGTAGTGTTCCCCATACATCAGTGTACCTGTATTGTTTACTTATATATCTTCGCACCTGTACAGGTTGGGCTGTAGTGTTCCCCATACATCAGTGTACCTGTAGTGTTTACCTATATATCTGCGTACCTGTACAGGTTGGACTGTAGTATTTCCCCATATATCAGTTGTGCTATGGTACCGAACACCAGTCTTAAGACTTTCTGGATTCTGTTGTGACAGCCACACCTGTAATTAAGGATAACAATTAAGCATTATACAGCATCATTCAATTTTTTCATTATCTAAGAAGTTTTGAGTTGTGTAAAACTGACATCTGATCACAACAGTTTTCATAGCTCAAATATAGCAGCTTCACCAATATCTTGAAGCAAACAGATTTTTTCTATTAAAGCCATGAAGCACATTATATGTCTCTATTGATTTCATTGATAAGATTTCTATTTTTGACAGATTATTCCATTCTTGAAAATTGAGAAAAAAGAAACCCCTCCAATATACATAAGGTATTTTCAGACAATATTCCATGTTCTGTACAAATGGAAATGTGCCCATCAAATGAGCAGCTTTCTTTTTAAATTTCACCTCTGTGTAGAAGGAAATCTCAAATTGAAGAACAAAATGAAAATAAATCAATTAAGTTGTAAAGAAACATGTATGTGACACAATTTGACCTTTATGAGGAGTTTAAAGATTGTAACAGTTCCCTGAACTAGATTTGTAATGGTAAATCCTCTACACGTACGTACCAGAGATTCACTTCCTTTATAAGTGTCTATACTTAGATGGTCCAACACCAACCGAAACTGTCAATATACAAAATCATCCAGCATTCAGTACTTATTCTAATCTATTATGTATAAACTTTGACAATTAAAAGAAAACAAAAAATAATTAATGAATTACTGTCATTTTTTCCCAGTTTCAACATATCAAATAAAAGCATCATTTATTATTTTTGCATAAGTTTTGATATTACTTCAACACGTTATCTCCACCTTGGCACTGACAGTATGAACCCTACCAAATTGAAATGGCTTTCATATAACCTATCAAAAGGACCGCCAGTGTGTTGATGTCATTTTCACTATGCTTATTATTATATACTTTGACTGCTACTGGCCCTCTCAGGAAAACAGGAAACTTAATCAGCATAGACACTATACTGTTAAAATTACTGAGTTTGATATTTTCCCAAGAGATCTTGTAGAATATTCAAATATAGTACATAAGCATTGAGAAAAACAGCTGTCATTTATAAGGTACATGAATGACACATGAAAATTCAAATTCAACAATAATTGGATTTTGTAATGATTCATGAATGAAATGATTCCTTATGACTCCATCAAGGATTTATTTATTCATTCTTCAGAGTATTAATGAGTTCCTTTTCATTTCAAATGTGTATGGCCCAGACAACTGATATTCAGATCCTGCACTTTCAAATCTAAGCCTTTGTGTCAGTACTATCACACTTACAATATACATAAAGGGCAGAATGAGCCACCAGATCCAAGAGGCTAAAATACCATCTGTCATATTAGTGAGGACAAGTCCCGGACATGTTGTGTGCGAGTAGATGTTCTACAAAACAAACAAAACACAAACACATTTATCCTGAAACAGGCCTATGAATCCAACACATTAACTTGGACTCTGGGGATGGGCTTATTAAAGGACAATTAGTTTTTTTCCTACTGGACTGTAATAAACATGGGTGGGCTTATTGTCGGATAAAATGTCAATCATTCAAAACTGTAAACCATTAATAACTGTTAATAAATAAAACACATTAAAACAAGGATTGATCCTATCTAATACAGGAAATGGAATGTTTGTTTTAATATTATCGTAGAATTTATTCAAAGTATGTGAAATTGTCCATATTGACAATCACTCATCTGCAATACATATGCTTCATAGTAACAATATTGCTGTCAATATCAATCTTTAAATTGTTTTGTAAAAATGAAGTAGAAATTTGAGCAAAAATTCTTCCTACATGTGTTTATTTAATGCAAAACAAACTGGATTTGTAACATAATTTCAAAAAAAGAAAAATCTATATATATATATATATATATATATAGAAAAAACTTGATTTGACGAGATGCGAGTAAATTATAAATAAAAATGATTTTTGACAAAAGAAGAAAGACGTTACATTTTGCACTAGCGCTTTCACTGTATTAGATCTTCAGGTGCATAGTAACTGTACATAATGGTGTGGCGTCACAACATGTTATCTGTTGATGACGTCATAATATAAAAGGGGCATAATTATATTTTGCAAACTTTACAATGCGGTTAAACATTAATATTTATATATTATATATATATAGATTTAAAATTGAAGGCAAAAACAGCATTCATTTCATGTTGTATTCAGTGACTTTGTGTCAGCACTATCACACTTACAATATACATCTATCAAATAAGATTTTAATTTCAACTTTGTTGATAATGAGAATGACTAGATTTCTGGCTGTACCGTTATCAGTCCTCATTTTAGGTAGTACAAAATCTGTGGTATACTGGTAATATCAGTTAAAATGAGTGTATAGTAGAATTCTGGCAACATCTTCCCCAATACCTATACATACCAATGCTGAAAAATGAGCTGTTTTAAAATCAATGGATTGTGAATATTTGATACAGAGGCTGTATATCTCATACTTTACCTTGCTGTTCACTTTTTCATTCAATGCCATACTTGTGGTATCAATCACACATTTCGTGGACCCATAAGGGTCTTTTCTGAAAGACAAAAGAGAGTAATTCTAAAAGTATGTGTACTGTACACCAGGGATATTTGCCAAGTTCATATTGTAGAAATATGCTTTCTGGTAAAATGTTTGATTTTCATTTTCAATGGGTAAAATTTTTCAGTCTTTTGAAAGAAATCTAGTGAATATCTTACATTAGTGTTATCAATCCCGTAATTCTCATGTCATTTTCAATGTCCTCATACAACTTATAATAAGTATTTGTAACTGATATAACTTACAACCTTTCTTTCAGAAGATCATAGCGACATATTAAATATATCTTTTTAATTTTGCTAGTTGTTAGTGATTACAGCAAATTTTCTAATTAAGTTAAAAAATTAGTAATTTCCATCCTCTAACTACATCCATGTAAGAAGTGAATAAAATTGTACCAAAGATTTGTGAAAATTATAAAATCAAATACACAAGTTTACAAGGTGTTGAATGTATTTCCTTATCTGATACACAGTTTGTTAGTGTTTTGTTTGATATTTACCCATTTTTGGCCTGTAGGTCACGGGGATCAAAGGCTGAACGAACACCAGCCACAGACGATGTCCAGATAACTTGTGAAGGCTGATTACCTCCGAGGATATCCTCAAGCTCCTTTACCTATTAAAGCATGATGCGATGATCAATTACTGATGGTACTCTGACTACTATCAGTTTAAATCCCAACAAACTAATTGCTTCAATGCTGATTTCAAAATTCTTAAAAGTAAGTATAACTTTTTCCTAATCAACATTCATTTATTATTAGTAATATTTTCTCCCAAATTTTCTATTTTCTAAGTGGTTCCCATCAAAAGCAATTAATTTCTATCACTCGACACAACATAAAAAAAATCAAACTCATGTTTTGTATTTCTGTTTTTTTTGATACTTTGGAAAAACTAACATTATCCATTATAGTTTTCATATTCATTATATGTATTGTTTTAATCACTTTCTTTGCTAGCCAAGGGTTTAATGTATACAAGTGAACCTTTGTCTAATGAAGATGATTTGGCATGGGATTGGGGTATGTACATGTATGCTCTTCTGCTCTACAGTACTCGTAATAGTATGTGGTGCTATTGTAGAAATTTATATGAATTGAACTTTGACATAATTTTTAACCAAAGATGTCTAGCAAGAATCTCTACAAAAGTTGAGAGTTGTGACATTGGATAAGATATAAGAGAGGGGATATAATTTGCACTGGCTCATACAGGCAGATTTTTATATCCTCTTCACAGCACACTAAAAGAGGAATGTGAACACGGGATGATGAATGTCTAAATATGTACGGGCAAATAAAGGCAGATTTTAAAATCCCCTTCAGTCCACAGCTCACTTAAAGAAGATGATTAACAGGGAGTGATGAATGTCTGAACCTGTACGGGCACATAAAGGCTGATTTTAAAATTCCCTTCAGTCCACAGCTCACTAACAGTAACAAATGTTGATGTAAAGAAAAGTATTCTGAATCTTGTTTCATCAGATGAAGTCTGATAGTTTTAATGACAAATTAACAAGTGCATATCAAATGATTTAATGCTGTAGGAGATAAAATAAGATTTAAATAATCACACCAGGTAAAACTTACCAACACAAAATGTCCAAAAGCATTAGTAGCAAATGTGCTCATCAAGCCCTCAGAAGTGTGTTCATCAGTATGAACCAGTAAACCATGGCCGGTGTTAAACAGGAACAGCGTGTTCCTGAGAGATAATATTACATCATAATGACAGAAAAATTTCAAATTTCATTTAGACATACATTATGGTCTTGATGTTGCAGATATTGTGCTGGAAATACTCTAAAGGTTACAGGTAAATTATGTATATTTATATTCAACAAGAATAACATATAAGAGATTAATAAAATTGAAGTTTATTTTTGTAAACATAAAGAGATGTAAATTAAAGCTTTTGTCACGAACAAAACATACCTGTAGTATGGTATACATGTATTTGGTAAGTCAATGTTAAAACATGAAAACCGACAGTAGTCCTAAATAAAGGGTGTTCACATTCAGTTGTCAGTGAAAAGTCTGAATTATATGTGAAAAAGTTGTTTTCCTAAAACTATCAAGCCATCACTGGTGTCCAATATCATATTTAGAAAACTGGTATGTAGGAAAAATGAGAGAAAACTCTACAACCACCTACATTTTTAGGGTAAATAATGAAAATTTTCTCAACTCTAATATTGAACTATAAACGGTGGACATCAAACAATTTGAAATATACACACCAGTAATGTATAGAAACAAAACCACTTTCAACAATGAATGTTAAAGTATAATGACTGAAGTCTGATAAAAAAAGACAAATCGTCTGAATAAAAACACCACTAATTTCTATCTAGCTGGTGCTTAAATTCATCCCTGCAATTAGTACCACATGAACTTTAGAAACTAATATATAAATTATGGTTACCAGTACTCACATTTTTAAAATTGATTTCAACAGGTTGGAAAAGTCTAAACTCTTCACACTCATCTTTCCTGCATTGAGATACAGATAATCTATCCTTGGAAATCTGAAAGTAATGAAACACATCCTATGTAAAAGATCAATTTATGTAATTTTTCTCTTTGTATTTCAGTAAAATTGATCACAAGGTGAGTTTTATGTGTAAAATTGTATCAAACTCTGACATCTGACCTTTCGACAATTTTGAATGATGAATTCAGTCTGGTAAAACTATTTGTAACTTTTGGAACTTAAGACAAAAAATGAAAAAAAGATAAGAAAATATGCTAGTTATCCCTAATTATAAAGTTGGTATAAAACTAGTTTTGCAAAAACAAAAACAAAACAAAAAACAAAAACAATTTTTAGATATACAAGGTAATTGAGCTAACAGGCTTTAATAATATGACTTAATCACCAGGACAGCACAGTTACTCACTGCTTCTTGATATCCTTGACAGCTGAAAGGACTGACTGAACATTGCTGGTATCTAGTGTGATTATAGAGATCTGGGCCTTCGGGTGAGACAAAAGCAGAACATCTCGAGCAGTCTGGGCCCTCTGTCTGTTTCGACATGCTAGACACAGATGAAGGTCCTTGTGTATGGTCAAAAGTCTCTCTGCTAATGTTAGGCCAATACCCCTACAAAACCAAGGTATACAACAATTTCCAAATTTATTTCTTACTCTCATACAAATGTACCTGTTTCATAAAGCATAGAATAATGTTTATCTCTGCAAAATACGCAACATTTTTCAACTTTCTTTTAAGTAAAGAACAATACTCGCAATTTAGGACACTGTCAAACTGGTAACCTGAGGGTCAATGAACAGTATTCTTGCTATTTTCAGAATATAATACACTGTATCTAATATTGCACCCAATTTCTTTAGACCTCACAACAAAAAATAAGCAAGACGTCCAGAGGGCATACATCACTTAAATGTTTTTAGCAAAATTACCATCATGTTCTCTAATCTGTGTTCAAGATGCCAACATACACTAGAAACAAGCGGTCCAAAAGGGACCTTGGCAGCCAAGATCATTTCTTCTTGGATCTTTTCCCTTCTCTCCTCTGTTTTGCTCCAGTTAGATTTGGAAATTCCTCTAAGAAATGTTTCACTATCAAATACAAGATGGTCCCCTGTCAGCCATTTTGATTTCAAATCTGTCCAAAGATCAACAGGGCACAACTACTGACCAAGGGAATTTGAGAGAGATAAATTTAGTAATTCTCAAAAAATAATGATAACAAACTTTCACTGTTGAAGTCCAATATCGCTGCCTGTCAGCCACTTTGTTTCTGTGATCAGTCCCAAATTAAAAGTGCACAACTAGAGAGATCAAGGGGAATCTATATATAAAAAAATTTGATACACCTGTCAAAGACCAATTAAAAAAAATTCAATGTAGAGATCCAAGACAGTTGCCTGTCAACCCATTTGTCTTTCTGATAAGACCCTAAAACAAATGTGCACAACCACTGTTCAAAGTGGATTCTCATATCATATTTGGGATATATCCATCCAGTACTTCTTATGAAATAGCATTAACAAGCATTTGAAGAAAGAAGTTGCAGCCATTTTTTATTTTTGATTCGGAGATGTCCATAAAAATGAATCCATAATAGGTGCACATCTTCAACATATATATAAATATCCTACAAAGTTTCAAGCTTCTACGACAAAAACTCTAGGAGGAGTTGATTCTAAAAAACTGGTACCCCTTTTCCCTGCCAAACTGCAGAAAATAACTAAATTGCAAAGTCTGGAAAATCTAGAAAAATGTCTGGAATTAATCCATAATATGAGGTGACCATCCTCAACATATATATAAGCATCCTACAAAGGTTCAAGCTTCTATGTCAAAAAAGGAGTTGATTCTACAAAACTGGTACCCCTTTTCCCCGCCCTCTTGCCCGCCCGACATTCACCATACTATAACCCAGATTTGCACTATGTGCAACCCGGCCAAAAATTGATATAAAACAACTACTGTCAAAAGAAAAAATGGCTTCCTCTCAGTCATTCTGTTTTTTTTCCCATTTAGTCCAAAATTGCATAATGCATCTCCAAGGACCAAGGGGAATCTACACAAAAAGTCTGAAAATTACTTATCATCTGGTGATTAAGATTCCTAAAAGTATTAGAAACGTCAGAAGTTTGTCCGTTCTATCAGGGACTTAGATAACAGTTATCTACGTCCCTGGTTCTATCAATTAGAACAATTCAGACTAATCGGAAGACTTTGTGGGTCTTCTGGAACTCAAGAAGATTCTTAACATTTTAAACCGTTTTTCGTGTGATCTTGAGAATAAGTCAAGGTCATTTTACAAGGGAACTTTATAGCTCTCCATCCCAGGTACCCTTCTCCACTAGCCAAGTATGTCTATCACTACCCCTTTAATATGTACAAGATGCTGGTTTACCATTGCTACCACTCTACTTGCAGTCTATGATCTACCAAGCACCCAAATATTCTGGACGCGAGGTACAGTTTCAGAAAAACTGGTGGAAGCAGATCGTCAATAAACAAGTAGACGGATATTGGAATACTTGGATCCTGAATCAGTCAAAGTATTTCTCTTCACTATCTCATCTCAGCCGTACATTCGATCCTGGAGTATTACACCCTATCCTCAAGACTGTAACATCTGACCCCAGAGATGTAGAGAGACTACCAGTTAAATTGAAGCTAGTTACCAACACCTACATGCTCCAAAGTAACCGGAGTGCATTCAATCAGACAACAGTGGACTCGACATGCTTACTATGCAAGTCTGCACCAGAGACATGTCAACATTTTATTCTCGGCTGTACTGTACTTGAATCAATCTGTCGTCCTTTCCTTGAAAGATTCCAGTCGTTATTTCCAGAAGAGGAACCTATCTCCATACAGACTCATCTCAATACTTTTCTCCAGAAGGAGACATCTTCGCCTGTGAATATCTGTCACGAAGAATGTGTTCCGCTCTACACAGTAAAAGGATGAGCATACTGAGTAAACTTCCATCAAACAAGAAAAAGGGATTGTGACTGTGATTAGAAACGCAACAACTGTGTATTGTAATTGTGGTGTGTCAGTAGAATAGAGACTCATATATTAACACTGCTTACCAACTATCACGCTTGCTGTGTGCCCGTGTGTGTATATGTAGACACTCCTACCTGAATGTATATTCCTGTATATAACTAGCACGTATGTTTACTGCAGGGCGTAAAGTACACCCAGGGGCTGTGTATACCTAATTGCTACTAACAATGTACATAGTCGAAGATCCACTCACAAGAACTGTTTAATAGTGTACCGTAACGACCCTAGCAAAAGCTAGGGGTGCTCCTATCAAAGGAAGGATTTTCTATTACAAGACAAGACAAGATGCCAACGTTTTAATAAAGAGAGGCATTTAAGCTAGATTTCTTGAAAAACAGTACCACGTCAGCTCAGTTTCCATAGAGCTACATAATTACAACTCGGCCAAACACATCATTTTAAAGCTCACTTTACACAGAATTCATACTTACTTTAGTGGACTGTACTAATTATCAAGTCCCAGTAACATCATGAGTTGACATAACAACCAGAGTGCCGTATGTTTAATAAATAAATGTTTATTTGCCATGATGAACAAGGCCATTCACTATGAAATATTATGATAAACACTAATATCTATACGTACCCGTTTGCGCCTGTGACGACAGCAACTTTGGTACCATCTCCCATCTTCTCTGTCAAAGCTTTCAACTATCCAACTGTCAAATAGATTTATAAAGTTTAGAGGGAAACCCACCAATATTCCGGATGGCGGCGATACTAATATTCTTATCTTGACGGATTATTTTTCCGGAATATAGCGTCTAGATTTTTAAAATGCAGTTTTAACACCAGTAGATAACAAAAGGAGTTTTGTTTTAATATTTACATTAAAAATATTTACCTGTATGCTATTTCAAATAATAATGATCGTCATTGGACGTTATGCGCGCTTGCGGCCGACAACTGACTGGGATTTCGTATTAGTGACTGCTTCCAATTTATTGGGAATATTTGTCAGATTGGCATTACCGATCACGCGAAGAGTAAACATCAATTTTGTTGATATGACCAAATAGAGACTACACACCGGAAATGTAAATATTGTTATGAAATATTTGACAATCTATCCGTGATTATTTTTTGTTTTTGTTTTTGTCGGTGATGATAGTCTGAATTCCTCCCCACATAAAAACACCTAATTCTAGTTAACCACGCAAGTTGCCATTCAGGCAATGTTCCTTGTAAGTTACAACAGTGTAGTATTCATAAACCATATATCGAAGGAAAGCTAAAAGATTTTCTACTGACCTGCAGGTAGTCTATTGAACGTTGTAAACCAAATATTTCCCCTCTTTTTCCTCGACAACTTTTACTTTCTACTCAACCTGTTTACAATGGTCACTATGCGTAATCCAAAAATGAAATTTTCGCGAGAATGGCGGTGATGGTTGATTTACAAATACAGCGTCACGACTTAGAACAAATTCATATTCATTAACCGCATTTTCACACCATTTGCATCCATTACACAGTAATAACTATATAGAGATAATATAGAATCTTGTATATTACTTTCTCAGTCATAGTGAACAATTTAGCATTTCGTTTATTACCTTCTTTTGTGAGTCAAAGAGATGCACTGTTGACTGTTAATAAAATGTTTCCCTAACAACCAGTTAAAAAGTTTTTAACCCGAATTGGTCCCGAGTAAGTATATGAATCGTACAATTTACAAGTATTCATGCTTGTAGATGCTTTCGATGTATTATTTAAAGCAACAAACGAAAACATTGTTGAATATATATTTTTGAATTTATTAATTTAGAAGCAATTTATTAGTATTTCAAATGTTCTATTCCTATGCTTTCTGGTGTTTACAGAGAAAAAATATGTTTCTTACCTGTCTAGTGCTGCTGAAGTGGGACATACGCTGTACATGTGTGCCGGGGATGACATTGATTTAAGTCTTCATCAGACAATCGTTGATTGGCTGTCTCTCTGATAACTGCCTCGACCGATCAGTCAGGAGAGCAACAGGTGATCGTGTTGAGACAAGATAACGTAAATATAACTACTGCACGTTATGGTCCTACATAAGCGCTCAATCAGAACGAACGTTTTATTGTAGTGGAGAAATCTCAACATTGAACTCGGAGGATGACGATTTTATAGGCAATCCATCCGTTTGTTAACACCCGTGCCTAAAATTCTTTGTGTACCACACGACATTAAAGTTTTCCGAGTATGCATTAATAATTATTTTATAGAAAACAAAGATAAATTTAAGTTTTTATTTACCAAGAAATATATAAACATTCAAATAGCGACTTAAGCATCAACGATACGTCTGACCCAACTCGGCCGGACTTTGAGATCACTGTGAATTCCCTAGTAGGTCTGTTGACTTCCTAACTATTCACGCTACCCACATGTATCACCCCTACCCAATCTCCAACATTGACTGCAATGTTTGTGTAGTCTGACAGTACACGAATGCCATCACTGTGGTTATCCACTAGAGTATACTACGTACAGCAATTATCAATTGCTACTAATTATCTACTTTCTCCAATAACACACACAAAATCATTTAAAATTTAAACAAATAAACGACGAGTAGATGTATAACAACCGTACAAAATCAAAATAAAAAAAAAAAACAGTATGTGTTTATGAAACACTATGTCCCGGTTGGGAAGTGGGACATTAAAACTGCATGCTCACTTTGTGAAAGACTTCATTGCAGAAATGATTTTTCTTTACTTTCAAATGTAGCTCAAAGGTCATTGTTAAGGTCACATTGTATAACTTTTGGTACCACCGGGAAGGCTTTGTCACAAGGAGCACACATGCCAAATATGAAAACCATAACTCTTACGTTGCAATAGTTATTGGTAAGGTTTAAGTTTACATCAGACAACCAGACACAACAAAAACAATATGCCCCCTGATGTTTCGATGCGGGGACATTAAACTTCATACCACCCTCAGTTTTCAGAAAGGCAAAATATTTATGCTAACAGGAGAAAATGCCTCAGCTTATTTTCTGACTTTCAAAAACTCCAGCGATTTTTTTAACATAAGAAATTCCAATATTTGTTATCAAAAGCATTTTTTTGATCAGATAAAAAGGTGCATATATTGATTTTAAAAATCTGAGTTAATGTTTATTGCAAATAGAATCTACGTCAGTCGTCTCCGTTTTGGGGGATCTGTAGTGTTTTCTGTTGTCTTATGTATTTATTAATTTAAAAAATTGTATAATTTACAATAAGTGGGGGAATACGTAATCTATTTAACTCTTTATTATCTACATGTTCAGTTTGGACTGAAATAAAAGTTGTAGAGGGCAGTTTTGAAAGAGTCTTTTTGTAGAGCAGGGATACTACCCGGTGGAAGTTCGTTTCCAGTCAATTATAGATCAAGAGGGAAAATGTTTTCTTTAGCGTTTAACAGTGAAGCAGTTAGAATGACAAATGATGGCTTTGTCTGGAGTGTCTGACTAGGAATAATAACTTCCTTTTTATAATATCAATTGATTGTTATTGACAATATTGAAAAAAAACCCATTCATCTCTACGACTGTCTAAGAGGAGGCGAAGGGGTAAATGGTGCAACATTGGCAGGTAAACACTTACTGTGTGATGGTTATACCACTGACTCCAGATTTTCAGAGATCGGCTGGAGTTCATCAGTGGTTAGTGAACATGTTCAATAATAAAATAATGGAAATTTAGAGAATTCTTTACCATTTCATAGCTCTAGATTTTTTGAGGTAAGTCATGTTGATATAATCAAGTTGAGCATTCACTCTTATATTTTCTATGGCATCAATTTATTTGTTCACAAACCGCTGGTGAACTCTAACTAACCTTTGAGCAATTGTTAAGCATTAAAACATGAAACCCTGCGCTGCACAATTTTAATATTTATCTTTCATAACATATGTGTAGCTGCATATCCAAGAGCTTTAAAATTATATCAGTGTTCTGAATCACGTAGACTCGATCTTAAAGATTCGTCACAAAAACCGGCAAGTAGAGTTTGCTTTTGAAACTGTGGGAGTCCCATTTAAAGTGCATCGTATTGTTACTCCTAGATATTTGGTCCACTAAACATACTCAAACATAATGTCCATATAGGGTGTATATATGACAGACGAAAATAAAATCGCACCGAATATATAGAACCCTTCGGATCACGATATACAAATGCTTGTGTATGCTTTTCTTTTATGTTGCGCATCCTATAATTCAAGGAGTTTTTGTTACCTCCCTTGAAAACACTAGGTAGCGCTTTGTCGTTATTTCCGAGGCGCAATCAAATTTTCGAAGGAAAATCTCACTCAGAGTGCGTGCAATGCTTAGCTCTTTGACAACAAGAGTTCGCACCTTTTTGTTTAAAGACGAAGGAACAATAACACATGAACAAAGTTCAAGAAAAAGAAAACGGGTAGACGAGTGGTAAGTTTTCTATTCCAAGGTTCGATGTCGGTCTGTTTCAGTGAATTTCGGCACTTTTGATCACAATCAATCAAATGCGAAAAGAAAGATCTCAAAAACATTCGAGAGAACTCAACATTATCAAAATCTATTTTAGATTAATGTAAAACTATTCATTCTTATTGAAAAATATTTATTCCATAAGTCTAACTTGTTTACGTTAGATGTGTGTAAGATCTGAAAATGGAAAATAGATGGATCTATTTTTAGCCCAAAACTGCAAGAGAAAATTACACATGTACATCTGATTGAAATAAAAACACTCAGATTCTTTTCTCTCTGTCACTTTTGTATTGCGTTTGTTTACTAAAACAATGATCAAGTTGTGGGTGTAATAGTTATGCTAGATTTTGTTATTGATTTGAAAAAAATTGCCAAAGACATGTTGACACTTTTTTAAGTAAAGCCAATTTTAGATATAAAAGCTAATAATTTACATGACAATGCTATGGTTTCATATTTGATTTGTATCTGTATTGCTTCCTTTCAAGATTGAAAACCAAATTTTAAGAGACACCCTTTCCTTTTTGATTACTCCAACAGTATTAGAGGTTTGCACTTCAATAAGTCTAAGACAGGCACCAGTTGGTAACCTATCATCTTCCCAAAGGCAGTTTACCAATTGTTGAGTGTCAAGTTTTTGAAGTTAAGATTGTAGCATTTTTGCATGAACTTAAATGTGTAACTGAGTACAACAGTTCATTCTGAAAATCACACATTATTTTGTGCAGAAATGGATTAAAACATTTATTTTTACTTTACATGCATAAAGCGGACAAAACATGATCTGCATTCTCCATTAAAGAGTTACAAAATGTCATGTGGATGGAAAAAACAAGTACAAGTATTATATAATATATACATACACATGGCAAATTAAAATGGAATTGTTTCTCCTTTTATCACATGTAGTCTTTTAGTGTGATGCATACAGTTTGTATTTCACATTGACTGATCATGAAACAGCCTTGTTTGAAAGCTATGTCATTCGAGTGTTGGAATGAAGCTGAAGATTCTTTTGTGATAAATTATTATGTGTATGCTTTATGAAAGTAATTAGAACATTTAAATGGCATAATTAATACTTAAATTTTAAGCACAGTGATAAAGTTGTCATCAAGTTTTAAGCCAAATATAGTGATACAGTGAAACCTCACCTAATAACCTCCTTCAAATTGTGACCATCTTGCTGTCATCAGCCCTGTTATTTGTCATATATTTGTGGAATGGACAACATAAATAAACTGCATGATATAGGTCTGTTTTTTTTGTCTGCATCTAAATAAACTTAACCTTACAGGAAGTCGTAACATCTGATTTTTGTTTATGTAGACCTTATGGTTTTGTCCTTTCAAAGTGTTTCTATGCTCTGCTGGAACGTTCTGTTTGAGAAAATCATGTATCCATTTTCAAGTCACATAATCAATGTGTTTAAAAAGTTGTTCATACACTTTTTTCCTGCATTTCAATTTCTTAGAATTAACAGGTATGTAAAGGTGACAAAAAAGGTATACACGAATGATATGTCTTATTTTACTTTCAGTTCAGAAAATGGGGAGGAAGATGAAGATGTTGTCATCATTGCTGTCAAAAGACCGAAAGTAGAGACAAAATCTTGTGAGTCAAACAGTTTTAAGTTAGCTTGAAATCTGAAGCTATTGTAGATACAAACGATTGCCTTAATTATGATCATGAGCACAGGTTGTGATTAGATTAAGCTAATAGAAAATTCAAAACCATAAGGAGTAAATTCTGGTTAATACTCAGGTAGATTGACATCATCCTTTTTTCTTGTGGAAATCACCATTCAAACATTGGCATATCATGAATATCAGTATATTTCAATAAAAACATATTTGTGCCTGGATTAGTGTTAGATTGACTTCATTTATCTTGTATTTATCATAGAATTTTGTGGTTTAGATAATGCTAATGGCTGTGGTTTAAAACTTGTTACCTTTTTACTTGTTTTCAGTGTTTTCCAGAGTTCTCTCTAGTCCCTATAAAAAGATGTCTGACTGGGTAAGGAGTAAAACAAAATGGAATGACAGTTTTTTCTCTCGACCTAAACTGAAAAACAACAATAGGAGTGCTCCTAACTTTGAACACACTCCAAGGAATGGTCGTCTGAATGGAGGACAAAACCCCCATGATATCCGCCAAGAGAAATTCCTTGCCAATCGTGCAGTTAGCAAACCCAAGGAGGAAGTTTATTGGAGTAACATCAAGAGAGAATCTTCAAATGATAGGCAGCAACAAAAGTTCCAACAGAAAATAGGATCACAGGTTGGTTTATAAAAGAGCAGCAAAACAAATACAAAATATTTTCATAATTTGAAATCTTCATATCTTTCATACAAAATTGTTAAGAAAGATTTCTAAAAATTGTGTTATCTTTAATATCATAATTAAGTTGCAAAATATTTGAAAGTATTGCATTATCTTGTGATGAAATGTACTGTACCCATTTCTAGAATTTTGTTATTGATTCAATATTGTGTCAACATGTTTCTATGTTAATTGAGAAAAAAAGTAATGGATATGGTGTTGATAATGAGAAATGTAAAGTATCAACAAGCAGTATTTTGTGAGTTTTACTCTTTCTGATCACTGCTGTGGATTACATTACAATTTTAATATGAAGCAAGAAATCTCAGTTTAAGGGCACTACAGAAACTTCAGAGAAGACCTGAAATATAATTTTATTGCTGTTGAAGCAAAATGTCAGGTGAAGTATTTTTTTATGTAATATGAACACGTTGGTTGTTCAGACCACTGACTCTGTTCTTTCTGACTTAGGATGGAAGGGAACAAGTGACCAAAGTTACCTCAAAGCCAACACAGACAGATAATATTATCATGTTGAATGGAAACGGTGAACACAGTAAGTTTTACACCATGGTAAACAACTGGGAGTAAATTGTTCATGATTAGACAAGAGTTATTTTATAGGAATATAAAAATGATGATTTATTAGTCTCAGCAAGTCTATTGCTGCTTTTTTCCACCTGTATGGATTCTAACTCTCAGCTTATGGCACCATCAATTGGTGGGCTGTTCAAATCACCTTTTGTCCATCCATCCTCCATCAATTTCTTGTGAAGCACCAGAAAGATCTTCCCAAATTTCACATATAGACTGCCTTTGGTCGAAGGTAGTTGTGCACGGTGTTCAGTTCAGGAACTTATCAGAGGAATAAAATGGCAGACAGGGTGTAATATTGAAATTTGAGTTTATTACTGCTATTACTTGAGAAGTACTAATAGTTCCTTCTCAAATTTGTAAACATGTAGACTCCCTTGGTCCAAAGTTGTGCATGTTTAAATTTGGAACACAGTTGTGAAACTAAATGGCTGACAGGTGGTCATGTTGTATTATGAAATTTGTTGTTATTTAGTTAAAAAGTATTCATTTTTCTGATTAAGTATGTTGCATGATACATTTTAGATGGTCATGAGCCGAAGCTGGTTGTAAGTCAGAAAAGGACAACAACAAGTACTTTACACTTTACAGCTCATAACGTAAGTATTCTGTCTAGTGGTAAGTAATTTGTAACCATGGCTGGTCAATTTTTATCTCCAAATGAAACAGAAATGTTCCATTTCAAAATGATGAAAGAAAATTCAAAAAAGATCTGATAACTTTCTTCGCCTGAGATATTTATAATAGTCATGATGTCACACTAGAGATCATAATGCAAGAAAAATCATTTTATAATTTTATTTCTGAATGTTTGTTTTCATGCCTCCTGAAACCTGGCAAAGGTTGGTAGTTTTCAGAACTTAGGTTAAAGAAAACTTGTTATTAAAAGAAATATCAGATTGTTATAAACCTAAAAGTGTATTAACTGATTCTTTGCTTCAGAAGGAAAGATAAATCACAAAATTATCTTGTATATCCTGTGAAGGTTGTAAAAGAAAGACTATATTAATATGGCGTTACTTCTCAGTTTTGGTTTAAGTCAGTTCTTCAGATGGTTTAAGTCCTACTTTATCCAAACCATACAAAATAATGTTCAACAATTCAGAAAATTGGGGATGCTGGGAAGCTGGACTTAAAAAAAAAATTACAGTTAGCTTAGTTTCTTACCAAATACAATGGCTATTCTATTCAACACAGTTTAATGGTAGTTATGACATCTGGCCCCACTTGTATAAAACATCTCAACTTGAGATTTCCTCAAGTCGAGATTTTCCTCAGCTGATATCTCCTTGAAAATATCTTGTATGAAAATTCCTCAAGGAATTTCAGTACATCCTAGCCGATGACTTCCTCCTGTTCCTTGAGAAAATTTTATGCAAGCCGTTTTTGAGGAGATACCAGCTGAGGAAAATCTCGATGTGAGGAAATCTCAAATTGAGATGTTTTATACAAGTGGGGCCTGGACCCACCGTTTAGATTACATGAACTTACAAGTTCAGATTCGAAAAATAACTTTGGCTTGTCAAAAGATGGAGCATGACAAGGGAATGGTAAGTCTCCGGGGGAAGTCTGTTGTCATAAATAAAACATTTATGTAACTGGAAATGTTACTAAAACAATTGATGTTTCAGCTTTTCAGATCTACAGGAGGGTATTTGGTATTTTCAGATTGGCAGTTCTATTAAAATGTATCTTCCAAATTTGGTAGTTTTGGAGAGGGAAAAACATTCAAGTTTCTCTTGCATTTTGCTTGAAAATTACTGAAGCAACAAAGTCTGTACGTTAAGACTAATGTTTTTAATTCAACTCGGTCTAAAATATATAATTCCTACAAGTATTGAAGTCTGTAGTGAGTTTGTTAAGATGTTAAATTCTACAAGTCTCTGTCCAAGAAATGCTATATGTGGTTTGTCTCCAGCACTGATTGCACAAGGCTGGTGCGCTAGAGTTACTACAAAAAGTTTTACATGCATACTAGTCCCTCTGTAGCATGTACTGATGACTGATGGGAAATGATTTTATTTCAGTGTGTTGATTATGAAGAAAAGGAACAGTACCGACAACTACTACAGCAGTTTACCTCTGTTCCAATTTCTTCTCCTGCACAATCACAGCACAAACCTACTCGACCAAAGTCACCTAGTACAATGTCACACAGGTCAGTATTACAATAGTTCAGAATTTAATTTTAGTTTTAGTATATATAATTCATGCTTAATGAAAAATAATGTAAATTGATTACTGTAACATACACATTTTAGTCATTATCTTATTTTAGGGCTTTTCTTATTGACAGTATTGCAATAAAATAAGATTGATAATTTCACTTTCTTAAAGCTTCTTATAAAGTAATGGTTGTTGATGTATGAATCTGATTGTGCTAAGTAGTCAAAAAAAAAATAATGTGCAAAAAATGATTGTGCCAAATTCTGCTTCCAGTATTCAATAATGTTTACCTCTACATAATATTATTTGAAAGGAAACATTCTTACTTTTCTGCTGCTTGCTGTTATAGGATTACTCACTGATCCCATTTAGGTTTTAATCTTAACATCATCAGATTGTAGGGTGTTTAAATTATCTTTTGTTTATGGTCAGTCTGTTCTGTTAACAGATGCTGTATGTGTTGTATCTAAGGAAATATGATGTGAATTTTTGTCAAACTGTCATCACTGATTCACTAGAATTGTCAATGGCCAGCAGATAACTATTTAATACTCTATTTCAGAAGTTTGAAGGGTTAGCTTTTGCTTCTTGGTTTACAGTTTCTGAAAAAATATCCTGTCATTATTGATGTATAAAATTTAAACAAGGGCTTAACGTTGTCTACTGCCCAACAGCCTTGGCCTGGCAGATAAAACCTACTTAACATCGCCCACTGCCCAACAGCCTTGGCCACGGCAGATAAAAAACCTGTTGTACAAAACAATTAAAACAAGGACTTAACATCACATACTGTCCAACTGCCTTGTCCAGGTCGGATAAAAATTGTTGCACTCAACAATTTAAACAAGAGCTTAATATTGCCCACTGCCCAACAGCCTTGGCTAGGCAGATAAAACCTGTTGTACACAACAATTTAAACAAGGGCTTAATGTTGCCCACTGACCAACAGCCTTGGCCTGGCAGATAAAACCTACTTAACATCGCCCACTGCCCAACAGCCTTAGCCAGGCAGATAAAACTTGTTGTACAAAAAATATAAATGTTTATTTCGTTTTATAATGAAGGAAGTCAAGCTCTGAAAAACTAATTTACATTTTAATGACAAAAATTTGCTTTTTAATTATGGAAACATTGCACAACAAAATAATATGAATGAAGAATTAATCTCTGTACCTTCTGTTTAACCAACAAACTTTTACTTTAAACTTTAGTAAAAAAATCACTGTTTTAATTTTTTTCAAGTATTTTTGCAAGATAAAACTTGCTTGTATTTAATGCAGGTCTCTTGACAACTTGTCGGTTGGGAACCTTTCCCAAAGTTGGTCATCATTGAACTGGACTACAAACAATAGATTCCAACACACAACACCAAGCCGTCCAGTCACTGAAATGAATGGTACATCCTTCCTCAAGCGACACACCCCTGCTATGGATGTGCTAAGGAAATCTGCAGCAGTGCGAACACCAATGCACCCTCGTCTCCACACAGACTCTCACAGAGCAAAGAGTAAATCAGGTGAGAAGAATGAATTTCATATATCTGTGTTCTCAATGACAAACCAAAGTTTGATCAGTTTTATTGAAATTTTCCTTTATATTAAGATTTATTTGCCACCAGCTTAATGACTTTCTCAGACTCATTATCACTGTAAAAGAATGAGTCTCATCTATCTGTGTGTTCATAAATGAGATGTACATTTCGTTTTATGTCAATGGTTCTTTTTAACAGTAAGGGTGATCTGAAGAAATTCTTCTTCACTTTATTCTGGTTGTCTGTGTTTTTCAGATGAGAATTTGGAAAAGTCAGCAGCATCAGAAAGATCAAAGTAAGTAAGAATTACAAATTGATGAAATTGTGTTACTATATATTTCATGTTGTCAACTTTGAACAGGTCAGTGTTAGATTATTTTAAACAGTTTTGCTTGAGGAAATACACATTTTTTAAGAATTAGGTGGTTAATATAGTCACTCCAGCTCAATGTAGTCCCACTTAAAATTTTTTAGCAGTTTTCGGAAGTAGTAGTGTATCACGAATGTAATGGGACAGTTGATTGTTGAATAGTTTTAGCACTGATACGACTTTTTTTTCGATTTGATGAACTACTATTTTAGGAGCCCAAAATGGATAATTTGCTTGTGTAATTGGAATCGAGTTTTTTGTTAAAATGTTCAAGCAAATTTTGCTAACCCAGTGCTGGATGACAAATGACAATGAGCTATGCATTATTGTAAATATGCTGGGCCATGTTTTTTGTAATTGTGAGGCACAAAAGTGTTAAATTTCTGTTTGTGAATTTTGGGAGCAAGTCTTATGTTAAAATATTTTTTAAAATGGTTCTAGATCATAAATGTCTGTGGGCAGTTGCTAATAAAATAGATCAAAGTATAAAATTATTAGCAATATGCTGAATCATGTTTTTCATAGTTATGGGGCTAAAGACAGACAAATTTGCATTTATATGAGATATATATCATAATAGACAAGCTATGGTGTATTCAGACCTGTCCTGCTTTGTCTATGGCTTGCCACTTCCTGTTACAATGTTTAAACTTAGAGCCTCCCAACTTAATTGCTTGAACTTTTCCTCTTGGTTTCATAAGCCAAAGCTCTGCACCTAATCATGTTAATGTGGTCTCCAGTCAATGTCAAAGGGTCAATGGTAATTTTTTTTCTGCCTTCTACAAAATCCATACAAAGGATTGAGGACATCTATTTCTTACAGACCTTTTCAAGTTTCAAAACTGTTTTTGTTTTCTTTTCAGGAGTCCAACTTTTAAAGACTCTCATTTTATTACAGACGAATGGGTGGAAGACATGTAAGTATATATAAACAGAGAGTTCATATAATTCTAAAGATAGATTTTCATAGCCTTACAAGAAAAGTTCATTATGGCGGTATGCCTGAGACTTTATTTAACAGTTATGTGGAAAGAGAATAGCTATAAGGAATGGTTTCTGTAAAAGACAAGTAACTTATTTTGTATGAAATTTTATGCCATCAGTAAATCATTTTTTATGTAATTTATTTGTGTTTTCTGTATAGTAGTGTACAACACAAAATATCTAATGAATAAATTTTTAAGAAATGTTTATATTGTTTTTTTTTAAATCCAATGACAATACTCTCAGCAGTGTTGTAGAAAAGCAAAGCAAAGTAGAAGTTCTTAACAATGACAAATTTAGTGAATAGTTAGATATCACTTCCGATTTGTCACAGTGAGACTAAAAGGATTGAATAACATAAAAGATGTAAAATCATAACTTAGCTATTGCTTGAATTTAAAGATTGCTTCTTACTGATGATGGTTTTTATTAAAACTCAGTGATTGAGAATGTAATCTTCATGATTTAGAATCTATGTAAGAACGGTTCTTGTTTTTCAGTCTCACTAAATACTCCATGGAGTCTAGAGAAAGAAATAGAAAAATAGCAGAACAAGAAGTGAAATCCAAAGTGTATGAGGAAAGGGTAAGCTATCTTAAAAAGGAATTCCTATCTCCTGTTGATATTGAGGTTTCATCTTTAAATAAAGGAAAGTTGTTTATTATTAATTAATTCTAGGTAAATACATAAAGTCTGTGTGATTATGTATTTAATGGCTTGCAGTGTTCATAGCTTTTCCAACTGAGTTATAGATAGAATTGAAGAGATTCTTGTTTCCATCCATTAGTATTTGTATTATGTAGTGTTCAAAAGTGTGAAATCAAATTACTTTTATTTTGAAAGTGACATTTTTTTTCTACCCAACAAAAAGCTATGTTTTTATATATAAACAACATTTACAAAATCAAATATCTATAAAACTAATATTGAATAGTAGTTGCTGTAGTGAGTTTTTTCAGATTTCATTATTGTATTGATATCAGACGAAAAGCAAAATAATATCTTTCACTTTTACGTAAAAGAATTCTTATTTCATGACCCTTAACTCTAATTTATTTTATAGAGAAAAGCAAGAGAAGAACACCTGGAAAGGGAGGTAAGTGTGCATGTTATTGTAATTATAGTTACACGTTTATATCATGTATAATGTTTTATCATATACATTTAAACATTCACACAGATTTTATAACCTCTCTTAAATTGAAATATTTACTTTTTGCCAGTTGTTCATAAATGTATGAACAACTGGCAAAAATTGAAATTTGATATCATATATTTGTCTGTCTTTTTGTTTTTGTTCTAATGGTAAACGTTTACCAGGGTATTCAATGCAATGCCCTATTCTGATTTTTTTCTACAATAAACAATAATGATTGTTGTCTTGTAGAACCACATTCTCAGGAAAATAAACTGTGACCATTGTTGTCTTCCAGAACCAGATTCATATGAAAATAAGTGTAATGGTTGTTGTCTTATAGATTCAGATCCGTATGAAAGTGTTGTCAACAGAACCAGCCTTTGCAGAAGAGCCAGTGATAGAAGATATTGAAGAAGAAGAGGAAGAGGAAGAAAGGGAAGAAAAGGAAGTTTTTCCAGGTATGTGGTTAGAATGCAGTAGTTTAAAGAGTCCTTTGCTTACACAGTTTAAATCAAATTTAACAATTTGTTTAGAGCAAATTGATGAAGGCTTGTTGTATTGCTGAAATTGTGAATGTTAGTAGTTGTGAAAGAAAGCTTGTTTACAGTAATTGAAATTAAATCCTGTAGAATATTAAGGATTTGTATTATCAATGTTACTCACATACAGTTAAGAAGAACATTGGAGTAAAGAAATCAATATAATAATCAGTTTACTTATAGATATAAAACCTGGATCATGTTAAAGAAAAGGACAATTTTTTTTTTAATTAAAGTTGATCCACAGCATAACCTTTTATGAAGCTTACAAAGTGATACCCATTGAAACAGATATGTTTTAAGACACAGGGTTTGGAAGACCATTGAATTTTTTTTTTTTTTTTTTTGTATTAAAGAGTTGACAGATGACATGGAAAGGATCATTTCCAATGCTCTTCGGCCCCGCCCTGAGCATGAAGTTCTAGTCGAGGCATTCCGTCTTCAGATAACTCGTAAGGACATGGCAACTCTTTCTGGTCTCAACTGGCTCAATGATGAGGTAGGGTTATAAAATCTCTCAGTATGAAATTTGAATATAAATAATTTGTTTAGAATTACATTTTGTTTCATTGTTAATGATATGAGCTGAGATATTCTGATGACTTTTATAACTTTGGACTGTTGAAATTTTTAGGAATACTCCCAGCCAAACCATTAAAATATAGCACTTCAGGAAATCAGGCACTGAAAGGTCACTGGATCATAGATTTTATGCAGAGTATTGGGTGTTTGTTCACTAAAATTTCTGCTGGAGTCACATTTTCAGATTTACTCTTATTTTATGTTGATTTGATAATTTACACAAATTCATTCTGTTTGGCTTATAGCAATCAATTAGCTAGATTACAAAGAATTTTTGCAAGTTAAATATCACATGCTTGTTTAAATGGTAAATTGTGGTGTACAATTTCCATAAGAACATGATCAGTAGATGCTTTTGTATAGTATCTTCAAAAGCCTCTTATGGAATTCTAACTTTATATCCCTTTAGATGTAGACATCTGTGACAAAGAATAATTTCTGCTGCATTTTTATTTCCAGATCATCAACTTCTACATGAATCTCTTAATGGAACGAGGGAAGGACGAAGGAAAAGCGAAGGTTTATGCTTGCAATACTTTTTTTTACCCAAAAGTAGTCAGTGGCGGACATTCAGCAGTCAGACGTTGGACCAAGAGAATCGACATTTTTTCCCAAGACTACATTCTTATACCTGTCCATCTGGGCATGCATTGGTGTTTAGCGGTAAGTGTTGCTACACCCCAGCACGGATGGGAATAGGATATCATAACCACATTAGTCTATTGGTTCCTCAGTCCTTTCTGTTCAATACTGCAATTTCTGTTGTGATGATTCAACTCTATCTTCATATGATTCTCAGTCTTCATACCACACTTCCTTACTGGTTTTCAGGACTGAAGGTCAAATTTCAAGGTCATCATAACTTTTAGAAAAGTTCAGCTACCAAATTGTTTATGCTGTCATACTTCCGTCTTGTAAAATGCTTTACCCCTATTTCTCTAGGAGGCATGTATTGGGCCTCATTTTTGTTGTCCAGTAAAGTAGCTATTACAGGAAGGCTTCAGAATGACCCTGGCCATCGACAGGGCAATACATCCAGGATATAATCATTGACAATCAGTGGCTCTGTTTATGCAAGTATCATCGAGCAAGTTTTATTTCCCCATCTGTACATGTGCCTTGCTAAGTCTTGACAAAGTGTTACTTATAGTGTAATGTGAGCATGATAACGATTTCAAGTGTTGCTTGTTTATTTGTCACTTTCTAGGTGGTTGATTTCAAGAAGAAACTTGTGCAATACTTTGATTCCATGGGTGGAGAAAACCAACAGTGTGTTAATGCAATAAAGTAAGTTTTTATATACAAAGCCTGGTTTTACAGAAGTTGCGTCTAAAGTAGTGCATGTTGGTAGTGTCTGCATTTAATTCTTTCTTTAAAAATAAAGCATGCATGATTTTACAGTAACTTGAATGCCATTTTTTTCATTTATTGGAATAATGGCAGGGTTCATATTATAAAAATGTACTTTCTATTCTTTTGAAAGTGAAGAAATTAATTAAATCTTAGGATTAGTGCACTTTTTCATGTAGTTATTGACATTTATTGCATTTAATTTTGATATTTCTTTGTCACTTTCTTCATTTAAAAAATTAAGGACCTTGGTATCAGTGACAAGTCCTTAAGGATAAAAGTTATATGATGCAGTTTTAATCTTGCTCTACTTTGTTTAATTCTGAATTTTGATGGAAAAAATGTGTAAACATTTTCCTATTGTTTCTAATACTCCAGACAGTATCTGTGTGATGAAAGCATGGACAAGAAGAAACAAGAATTCAATCTTACAGGCTGGGCCACAGAGATAGTCAAAGTAAGTCACAGATGACACATGGAAGCAGTAAGGTGTAAGCAGTCAGTATGTGTTTTAACAGTATTTCATGAAAGATGATTTTCTTATGTTTAAATCATATTTTAAGTAGCTGTAAATAACATGAAATTTTAACATTAGCATAAACTCTTTCAAAAATATTTAGATTGACTTAATTTTGTACACTTATTTATAATCAATATGCTTTAAATTAACATATCATGGCAAAATTGAAGGCACAAGCAAAGTAATTTGATTGGTTCCAGGAGATAAAAACTGACCAATCACAGGCTGATGCACTCCTTTTGAAGATTACAAAGGAGCGACAACCAACTTCAAAGTCATTACAATTTACCATAATGTGACCTTAAGACTTGTGTGATGTACATCAAAGAATCAGACTAGTCTTTTTCTTTTCCGCAAGGTGTCACACATGGAACTTTCAGTTTCCATGACATTCTATGACATGTTCGAGGGGTGTAGAGAGCGTAAGTGATTGTAACCCCAGGAGTATGGAGGATGGTTAGATCAGTAGATAGTTTACTCCATATGTATTTAGCCTTCTTAGATAATTCTAGTTTTAGTTGAATAAGTGGACAGTTTACTCCAGGGTCACTTAGTCCTCTTGATAATTCAAGTTAAAATTTGTTTTGTTTTGAAGGATATACCTCAACAGATGAATGGCAGCGACTGTGGGATGTTTGCTTGTAAATATGCAGAGTATATCACACGAGGAGCAGAAATCACATTTACACAGGTTGGTTTAATACTTCATCACTATTATATTTTGCTGATAAGGTTTAGGATGGTCAGTGGTCTGCTTGTAACATTAACGGTGTATATAACTAAGTCTAAAACTTTATATAAACTATCACATAGCAGTTTGTAAGAGATTATTTAGGAGTCATCTTTCTAAGTTGGAAAAGAATATTTTATTAAAGGAGACCATACTTAACATATCATTGTAAACTTATATGTACTTGTATAGCTAGTTTATGTAGACTTTAGAATATCTTTATCAGTATAGTGCAAATTTTTCAGATTAACAGTATTGCCAAATGTCCCAATATCCTCCAATCAATCTGTTGTTTAAACAAGTGACAGTAACGCTCCCTTGAGACATGTCAGCTTTTTCAAATAAGTAGTGTATTTTTTGCAAGAAATCTTGTTTTTAACACTCAAAATTTGACTGTTGTAATCTTATGAAATACACTCAGATATCATTTGTCTCTTTCTTCTTGTCTGTATAGTCTAATTGTTAAAAGAGGTATAAATAGGTTTATTTAGGTCTATTTATGGACGAATACAAGTGCCCAACGAAAATTGAGCTCCACAAAAGTAAATGATTTAACTGTAGGTCATAGAAGAATGCTTACTGTCATAGAAATATGTGAATCAAAGTGAAAAGATTGGACCTCGGTAGCGACATCAAACCTGTGGGGAGAAGAACCATGCACAATCTGCCAATTTTAGCTAGGATGAAATGTAGAAAAGACATAGTATTAGTGTAACAAATAGAGAACAGTATGTATCTAATATAAAAGTAGTTGTTAGCATTCTAGTGGCATTATTAGGTCATCTGAACCAAAGGGTCAAGATGACCTATAGCCATCATGGTTGTCTGTCGTTGGCCGTTTACCGTCTGTAAACTTTTCCTTTAAAACACTACTCCTGCTTAACACCTAGGCAGATTTCAACCAAATTTTGTCTGAAACATCGTTTGGGGTGGAGAAACATTTCTTATATTTAGAAAGTTGATTTGACTCAGATGACTGGGCTCCAAAAGGAGAAGTTAGTCAATATTTTACTTCAAAATGCTACTCCTCTTTAATGCCTGGGTAGATTTCAACTAAATTAGATCTGAAACATTGTTGCAGGTGGGTTATCATTTCTTAAATTTGGAAAGTTAATTTGACCCTAGGGACCTTGGAGCGATGCCCCAGATGGGAAAGTTAGTCAATATTTTGCTTCAAAATGGTACTCGTCCTTAATGCTTGAATGAATTTCAACCAACCTTAGTGTGAAATATCATTGAGGTTGGAGAAACATTTTTTTTTTTTTTAAATTCGGAAATTTGATTTGATCCTAAGGGAGTTGGGGACAGGGTCCCATTTGTTAGTTAATGTCACTCTTTTTTAAAGCTTTAATTGATTTCATTCAAATTTTGTCTGAAACATCAGTAGAGGTGGGCAATTCATTCTTAAATTCAGGAAATTGATATGACCATAAGGACCTGGGAGCTGGGCCCCAAATGGGAAAGTTAGTCAATGATTTTGCTGCATAACGCTGTTCTTTCTTAATGCTTGAATGGACTTATACCGAATGTGGTCTGATTCAGATTTATCAGACAATCATCAACAAATTCTGTGGTTTGTCCATCCGTTAATTGATTGTCAGATGACCGTTTAGGGCCATGGCCCTCTTGTTCCTTTGAGGGATTTGGACCAATCTTCAGATGCTTGGCCATCTTTTATTATGCAGAAGTTAAAAAAGGCTGAACTGTATTGGCATTTGTATTATTTGTGAAGATTTGGTTAGATTACAGATTTCATATTGAAAATTAATTTCTTTAATGATGTTCCTTTTGGAAATTTGGAAATAAATCATCATGTAGCTAGCTTGCTGCGGTGTAATGTCGGAAATTCAATAATGGCTTGATACATGGACCTTGATATTGATTTCAGGAAAACATGCCATACTTCAGACGGAGGATGGTGTACGAGATTCTGAAGGCAAAGTTATTACAGTAACATAATGGAGTGCTAGAGACTTGAGGACACTTGGTGCTGTGTGTTATTCGTTGTGAGGATGAATGGATTGCGAAAATGGTTTGATACAGAAATATCAAGTTGTAAATTGACATGATTTCACATTTGTCAATGTGGCTTAATGTATGCAGTTGTGACACGTTGGATTTGTGTTTCACTGTAAAGGTGAATGAAATTTTTTATAAATAGTTACTATTAAATTACGGTACCAAAACAACCTGTTTCATAGATGCACATTAATGCATCAAATGAAAGAGAGAAAAAAAGGGGGGGGGGGGGTCTTTTTGCGAAGGCTGAGTGGTTAAAACTTGTGACTGACTTTGTCACTGGTCCTCCACTTCTGAGTCACAGGTTCAAGGCCTCCAAGGGCCAGTCGCTAGATACACTTTCTGCAGTATGATGATTTTGCTCCATTTACTCCAGATTTTCTAAAACCTTAAATAGCTCTGGCTGTTGATAGGATATAAAGCAACAATAGAATTAACTTAAGAAATAAATTCGGTCAACAAAGCCAAATGATGATGTTGAAGTAAACTTTGTCAGGACTTTTGTTTTGTTAACGGTAAATTTTGATAATCCATCAGGCATTGCATGTCACTGATGATAGTTGTCTCTAATGGGGATAGTGAAGTGTGAATTGGTTAAACAATGTTATAAAGACCTTTAGAGAAATATGGTTTGATCCTCCATATGAAAACTTCCATGTCAGGATATTGACAATAGTTTCATTTTCTTGCCGTTTGGTGTCAATGAGTACCCATGGTTATATAGCCATGCATTGTAACATTTATTTACCAACAGATGTTAGTTCACTGTGATCATTTTCAGCTGATTTCATCGGAAACAAGCAGCAGCTTTTGAATGTCATGATCACTGACACAATGAGTAGTCAAATATACTGATATACCTATACAGTAAAACATGTCTATAACGAACATGCTTACAACGAAGTCATGCCTATGACATAGTGTTTTTCATTCCCTGCCAGGCACCCTGTCCTTTATACAATTTCAAATATATAACAAATCCTACATTTCCTATAATGTAGTGACTTCTAGGTTTGCTCAGGTAAATATCAATGCTGATTAATAACAATATATCGTAGTTGCCCTTGTCACACCTGAGTGATACCAGCCTTCTAAGACAATAATGTACAACTGTCTTGACATCCATGTTTAAGTATCCAACACACCATGACAAATCAGATGAGTTGTTTTTAAAATAATTGATTGATTTAATCACCTGATGCATTATTTATACAGACACATCTCTTAATTAGCATCATTTAATGCTGACTTACACTAGCATGTACAGAACAGACATGTTTTTTTTTTCTGGTCCTATAAGATTTTGTCATCCTGATGTCCAATGAAACCTTCAGATTTTTAAATGCCCATTAAAAATGTTAAGTTTTTCAAAAGATGATTTATATTCTGTACATTTATTCTGAACAAAACATTGTGTTTCGTGATCAGTTGTTTCCTCCCTGTTCTAGCACATTTTAACACTTAATAGTGAGTTTTGGTGATGTAAACTGATATTTCTGCTTTAACATCTCAAATGGGTTCATTAATTTCGCATTACTTTTTGCAAACTGACATTTTTCTGAATTTATTGAATATCCTCCAGAATTTTTGCTTTAAAAGAATATTGATGTTTTCTATAACAAATTGGGCATTTTCTCCCCATATTTAGTTAAAGATATATAACAAACTATGCTTATAATAATCTAACTTTCTTGGTCTCTAGAGAATCGTTATAAAGATGTTTTACTGTATCCTGGTTTGCTGTTTATACTTAAGTTACATGTCCAAGTTTACCGTAAAAACAATGATCCAACTGTTCGTACTGAAATGTGTTGTTTGTGCAGGCATTTTTCATTCATTTAAATAAGGAATTACCTGTATATTTTTTTTAATAATACATTTTGCTGTCAGTGCTATTTTTTACACTCAGAGTGAAATCAAATTTATTAAGGTAGGTTGTCATGATGTTGCTATATTGAGGAAGTATTTTCTAAAATATCATTGGCTTTCCAAAAAATAAAGTAGTCATAAAAGGCAATAACAATAAATTACTGTTAATAACTTTGTAAACTTTCATCAGGAGTGACATATTTTCAGTACCTGGTGGATGTCATACGTGTTTGCTAACCAAATTGTTTCTTTAAAACATAAGTATTGAAATAAGCATTAAGATTGTTCCATAAGAATTTCCACAAGTACTCTAATGTGTTCAGTATTGTAATTATGATCTTCTTTGCTCTTGATCAAGACACTGAATACTTCCAATACAGTTACCTATTGCTTTTGAAAATCTACAAAAAGCATGTTTTAATTCTGGAATGATATGAGGTTCTTCAGTTTTTTCAGTGAGTGTGGTATTTACTGTATTTTTTTTCTTCTTTTTTTTACTTGAAAGTGCTTATGACCAACAATATAATCCTGTTACATTGTGACTCTTGTTCCTTTGACCAAGAGCTCTATGGATTAGTATAAGTGATGTGATATAGGATACCAAGTATGATCACAGAATAATACTGCAGACTTATAGGTAACTTGTTATATACTGTAAAGTTCAATTTAGTCCTGCCAAAATGTAAAGTCACTTTAATATGGATATTTTGGTGTAGAAAATAAATTATTTGGTAAGAGGAGGCGGATGGAATAACAAATTCATAAATTTAGAGTTAAAATTATTTTTACAATATTAATTTTTCTTTTGTCTAATGTAACTGTACTAAAACAGTAAGACAGCTGTGCTGTATACATTCTGCTGGCAGCTTTAAATTTACAGGAACATTGTCATAGTCTATTGTACAGTGAATTAAAAGTTCAGTACATCAAGTTTGGATATTTCATAAGATGACAATGGTGTGTTAATTTCATTTTTTCATTTCATCACAAGAAATTTAACATATCTTTTTCACAGTAACTTGTTATAAAAACCGTATGTATAATGTTATGAGTGAATTATAAAAAAGTGTGTGTGAGTATGTTAGGAAGGATGAGTAATTTCAAGAGAGGCTATATTTGGTCGTTTATTTGATATTTCCAGTGCTTTGGTTAAAAATGACAACAACAGATCTAAAGATTGCTTGTACAAGTTTTGACACAAACATAAGAAGAATTGAAAAAAATTCTGGACAGCATTTTCATGTTCCATTGGCTTATATATACTTGATTTAATATCAGATTTCAAATCGTTTTGGTAGACCTCAAATTTATGATTAAATTACATTTATGTTACATGCTGTGGTAATCTTAGTACCTTGAAAGGCAGCATACACAATATATGTATAAAGATCACATGGTCAACAGCACTGTTTTCAGCAGCACCAACTTTGCATGCAATAATTTCTTCAAAAATTCTTGAAAGAAAAAAAAAAGATTTTACATGAAACTTTCTTTGAATGCTTATAGTTTGAACTATGCTTTTAAATTCAATTTCAGCCTAAAATTAGAATTTATCATGATGGCCTCCTTGCCATCTTGGATCTCTATCTTTTCATATGTAGTTTAAGTGAAATAATTTTGAAGTTCTAATGCATCTAAATTTGTCTGGATCTGCAGTTCAAAATTGATATCAAAGATGTTATATAATACTGAAAGTGGTTTCCTGCTCAATTTTTGTTAGTTGGCCATACCAACCGTAAGATCTAAATTTTGATTTGATGTATATACTTTGAAGTACAAATTAGCTTAAATGAAACTTGATAAAACTGTCCTGGATTCTTACACAATCACTTTCGAAATTAATAACCTTATGATCAAGGGTCAAATGTAGATACAAACAGACCATGATTCAATAGGTTTATTGTCCTGTGTTAAGATGGTGTGCAAGTATGATTATGTTCAGGAATAAATATGGATTCTGTCTTTATGAATGTGTTTATATCATTGATTTTTATGTTTGGTTATCATTGTTAACCCAGCGTGTTGCCCTTCGTCCCTAGAACAATTTTATTCAATTATAGACCAGTTTTCAGGTGAATACAAGGATTCATTTGCTCTCACCTTTGAGGGTTAATAAATCTGTGTATTCACATGAAAACAGGTCAGTAATAGTTTTACCATACCACTTGCTGATAAATCACCTGCTTTGCCATCATACCATCAGTCAAAGACTACTGTAGAGCATTGACATGTCTTTTAAATCTAATTACTGGTAAGGCTGGTATTGAGTCCTAGTCCACTCCCACTCAGTAAATATAACAATAATCCAGGCTTGATTACCGCACAGGATACTGGATTGTGATAATTACCTGTGAGACAACCAACAGGGTTTTAGACTGTTCTGCCTGTTGTTAGTCTGTTCTGCCTGTTGTTAGTCATCATAAAATGTCCTTTACCATTTCCTTGACTTCATTTATGACATCATTTCTGAAGGGAGTTTGGTCAAAATCTTAAATGAGAGTGTATATCAGAATACCTCAAAAGAATTTCAAGGTCAATTTCTACGGTATTCATGATTATAGAAAATCATCAAATATGCATGGATTTTTGATTTTGTGAAATGTGTATCATTTAATATTGGAATGGTTGCATTATACATGTATAAATCAACTTCTTTGAAACTTGGAAGGCTTTATTACCATGACATTGAAGAGTGTATCCATTGCTCTTCTCTTACCTGAAACATACTGTAAAAATAGAGATTGATAAGAGGCAGGAATAAATAGACTGAAGAGTGGATTAGGGCAATTGACAAAATGGACTCCCAGGGAAATTCAAGACCTGGATATACCAGCAGGGTTATTGTCTTAAGGTTCATAAGGACATTTCTGATCTATGAAGTACCTCTCACTGCTGTAGAAGCAATGAAGAGGAAGACCTGTAGATATCTGCAGCATCAGTTGAGCTAACTCCTGTAGTGTAGACTTGTACAGCTCAGAAACCAGACTTTAAACTTCAACTCAAATCAGTGACTGGGGAGTTCATGGCAACCGAAGTGTTACAATTGATCATGCTTAGGGACAAAGTAAACAAATAGGGAGGGGGAAATGGGTAGAGAGACAAGGAAGGGAAATGCCAAATGGGCACTTGATACAGCATCGGCTAGATTCTGGCTTGTGGACCTCATTGGAACTTGGGTGTCAGGCCATTCTGGTCTGGTAGCTATTTCTAGACGATGATTGGGCAGTGCTGACCATTGAGAATACAGAACTTGGACACTTAAGGTAATGCTGCTGTGTATTGTGCAGCCAAACTATTGCACTGAGCATGATGAAAAGCAGATATACATGGCAGCACAACCAGAGATGGCATTAAGCCTCAACTGCACCAGACGGAAGATGCAGCCAATTACCAAAGAAACAAAATTTGTCAATTTGTGAAATATGGAGCAGGTAGGAAGGATAAAATGAAAGCTAGTAGGATATTAGCAACACCGGGAGACTGGGAATCTAGGGAAGACATCCATCAGAGAATGAGTTTCTCAATAGAGGTGCCTTTGACATCACTGTGCTCAGACACCATGTTTGTAGTCCTCTGGCTCCGATCTGGCGTTAATGGTTATGAGCTAATGATTCCATTGGAAAATAGAATGAAGAAGGCAGATAAACAGAAGCAGAGGCCTCAAAGCACCAAGCTGGAGGAAACTAGTGGGGACAGAAAGCAGACAAGCAGGGGTTGATTCTAGCTGGATATGGAAGAGGAGGAGGAAAGAAAGGTGGAAGAATTACCGTATGCAGTGTTAGGGATAAGGTGAGAGGAAACAAACAAGCATTGTTGTCCATATTGATGGAGCAGGATAAGTGAAGAGGTTGCAAAAACATTCCAGAAACATCTGGTGCACCAGCCTGCGACAACATGCAAGAGCGAGTGTTGATTAGTTTCTGTTTGGGCGTCAACCCAGCTGGCGTATACCTCTTTTGGATATCTTGGAAGTGGCTGAAATGTCATTGGATTATTCCAGTGTGTTCAAATTATGGCAGTGTCTTTGCTGTATCTTGTTTTAATTGTAAGTGTGTGTTATAAGTTGACAGAATATTTGATGAACTGTTAGGATATTTATTCACATGTTGTATGATAAGCAGCCCAACACTGCAGACACTATCAAAGAACATCAATAATACAAACCCCTCCAAAACACCCAATGTTGCATGGGTTTGTTTTTTTAAACAGGCAAGAAGTAGAGCTCACAATGTCTGAGCTAGTGTTAAAGTGGAGAAACCATCACTTGTCTGTCTGTCAGTCCGACATCTTTTTTAAAAATTTCAAGAAAATAAAAGCAAGTTTGTATTGATATGATTTTGTACAACTCACCTTATCCAAATTCTGTTATCTAGCCAGCAAGTACCTTGATTAGAGTACTATGAATGATTCGGCGTGTAAATTATCTTGACCGACTTTCAGTATTACCTTGGTCAAAATGAGCTAGAAACAAAATGGGTAATCATCTATCTGAAGTTCCAGAAAACAGGGTCCTGAAAGTTAGATATCTTGCTCAAATGTATTATCTTGACCTCACAGGTCAAATAAGCTGAAAATTAAAAAAAAAACCAAGAGCTTCTCATGTTCAAGAAGACCCATAGACCTGTCATTTTGCTAGCAGGTTCCCAGAGTAGGGCGATATGAAGTTTCCTCATAAAAATGAGCTTTATCTGCTTTCAAGGTAAATAAAAACAAAAACAAAAAATAACCAAAACAAACAAAAAACAAAAAAAAAAAAAAAAAACTTTTAGTCACTTTCTCAAACTTCAACAGACCCCATGTATATGTCATATGTCATTGTGGTAGCAGGTACTTGGGATAAAATTTAATTTCAAATATAAATGACTAATTTCGGATTTGGGGAGCAAACATGTTTGAGATGCCGAAGAACTTCCATTGATTCACAAGATCTAAAGTGATAATGATTTAGTACATGTATATTGGTGTAGATAAGCAATGTAAGCCATTTTCTTATGTAATGCATTTGAATGAAGGGTCAGCTTAAGTAATGATTAGGCTGAAGCATGCTAATTTTGGCTTTGAACAATTAAAAAACCTTTAAGAATCTTCTTAATTCCAGAGGACCAAGGGTCATAGAATTTGGGCAGAATGTACAAGAGTAGAAATTTTCTCACATGAATGATCATAACCTATTTTCATGATCACTAAGATGAAACGTTTAATTCAACTTGAAAAAAGACTACTAGGAAAACCACAGTATTGAGACAATTATTCTTCATTTTATGTAAAAGAGATTATTATGTATTCTGCTAGGATTTGAACCCCACACTTCTGGCGTACTAGTCTAACAGTCAACTAAGCAAGCTAAAGAGAAGTTCTCTCCACCTGTGTGATATACATGTACATTTTATACATGCAGACCAGCAGTGTTTATTCATTCTACTTTTTTTTAATTGTGTTTTTTTGTGTTTTTTCAATATACACGGGCACCTTGAACACAAACTTGACGCATTATGGTATTAAGATATTTTAACATTTCTCTAAATTAGCTTTGATATTGAATCGACAGAAACAGGCCCTCCTTGCCTCTTGTATACTCAGTGGCTTTCACTAATATGAAATTGCGATCAAAACTTTTGATCCGCAGAAGTGCTTTTTCTATATTTGAATGCAAATCAGTGTGCTTTTAATAAGTGTTGTTTTGATACACGTGTCTTATATCGAACGCATGCGCTCTCCAACAACAGTTTTAAAATGTCATTAACGTGTTGACAGTTAGCGCTTGAGTGCACACGAGTTGCTCTAAGCCATCCGCCATGTGTTTACGTTATTCCTATAGTTACTGACCCCAAGAGGTTAATAAGTATTTCTGATCCAATCAGTGCGTCGTATAACCTTCAGTCCTTGTGGGAAATGGCTACTTCCTGTGTTATGTCTTGATTAGAAGAGTGGTTACCAGTTTAGAAGTGCGTTAACATATGAAAAACATGAATGAGTATACGTTTGATGATGACGGCAACCCCATCATGCGGACTTTTGGAGCTCCACATAAGAACTTATTTGCAGATGTCGAGGATATCACAAATATTTTCGATGTCGATGGCGATGGTTTCGATGTTACCCTCTCGATGGCGGAGGCGACTCTCAGCTGGATAAGTGTCAATCCAAACAGAGGTATCGTATCTTACACCAATTTTATTAACAATAATTTATCCCTGTAACACAATCTAGTATTTCCACATGGAAGACTTCTGTTTCATTTTGTTTTCTAAGCCTCAACAGACTATTCTGATATCGTGAATATTTTGTTATTTTAAGCATTGTACTATTAGCGGCTTAAAAAAAACACACTCACAGTGTGAGAATGAGTCATATTTATTGAGAGGACTTAAAAAGGAGAGACTAACAATCGTTAAGAATATAGCTAACTGAAATACTCTTACAAAAGATTGCATTCTTGATTTCCATTTTTTGATGGAGCAATGTGTGGATAATTACTGCATGTATCATATACTGATTGTTATAAGAGACGGGACTTTTATAGGCATTGTCTATTGTCCAATCTCGGTTAAATCTTTTTGAATTAATAAGATATTTTGTAATGAATAACTTACTTTTATATCAGAAGAGGCATAACACTGCTAATTCATTAAGTTATTAATGTAATCTAGATGGTTCCTTGACCTGCAAATTGTAATGCTTTTTTTCTGTATCTGGCTGTTTCTTAATAGAGATGAGGGGGCCTATCAATCAACTCTTGCATGTCTATCAACAGACTTTAAACATAATATATCCAAATCAGATTTCAAGGGTTCTGTACATTGTTACCATTTATGTGCATTATGGAGCATCATTATCTCAACTTGTTTTTATATGCCTGTCAGAAAGAAGGGTCATAGGCGCCTGCAAAGTTCATGGGAGGTAGGTCACTACTCACAATGGAGTCCACAAATCAACTATAATTTGGTTAGTTTTACATCTCAACACCATGGGGAGAGTTGATGACAGACCGAGATCCAGTCATCCATGGGAAAGGTTGCAACATCAACTAAGGTTCATTTTGCTTGCCCACTTGTGTGACAGGTTAACGGCAGCTGAAACAGCATAAAAACCCATAGGTAACTGAAGCCATCAAATTCACCTAAAAACTGTGAGAAGAAGACTGTCACAGGCAAATTTACACCCACATTGCGAGTACAGCTCAACTTTGATCAGGCCATATTGGTTGATGGCACATGTGCCCAGATTTTTTTGATGGAGATCCATGACCTTCATGGATGAATATTGGTTCTGGTTATTTCAATCAGATGGCTGTCAACGTGCCCGCATCAAGGAGACTGTCTTGTAGACACTTGTGTTTTGGAGCATGACAGATTTATGGGTGGTTCAGTAATGTCTTGGGGAAGAAGTTTCCATGGTTTAAAGACACCTTTAGTGATCATTAATATGAATTTAACAGCTGTATGCAATCAAGATGAGATCCTGTTGTTTCTTTCATTATGAGGTACCATTTGACCTTTCATCAGGATAGCACTAGGCCACTCATTGCAAGAGTTTATAGGGACTTTCTGATAGTCGATGTCCTTATGAACTCTGTGGAACTTAGAACTAGATATGTTTAAGCTGTTTGGGGAGGGCACACACAATATTACGGATAAATCTGACAATCTACTGTTATTTCAACTTTATGTACATTAGGGTAACCCTTATTTTTATAATTTCTTCTACAAGTTGATCTGGCTATAATCTAAGATAATCTGATTTACAGTGTAATCACACCGGAGATTCTTGTCAGATCAACCAATTTTTACAATAGGTACATCAATATTAACTTATATAAACACAAAGGATATTTAGTGGATTTGGAATTTAAAATTTTGATTTTGATTTTGATTTGATAGCAATGTTTTTGGATATAATGGAGACAGCTAGATCAGTGATTAAACTCTTAGCATGCCAAAATGTTTAGCAGAAAAGGTACTGCATACTTTTTTTCAAATCTGTTATCCAAATGTTTCAAGAGTACAGATTAAGTAGATAAAAGCAGTAGGACTTTCAGCAGCATTTCTTCTGTGACATTTTGTCATTGCCTAATGATATACACGGTTGTCAATGAAACTGAGATCATTATTCATTTCAATGCTTCCACTAGGGGTCAAAGTCAGGACCTATAAACTCTGTCTTCTTTACTACTCTTATGCTCTGAAGATTGAAAATAGTGTAACCCTGGTAAAATACTAGCCGCAATATACCACTCGGCTAGAGAGAACTTCTCTTTAGCTCGATTGGTTGAGCGTCAGACTAGTAAGCCAGGGGTCCTGGGTTCTATTCCTAGCGGAGGCATTGAAATAAATAATGACCTCTGTTACATTGGCATCCGTGTAGGAACCTGGGAATAGTACTTAGCCTTGCCCCACCAGTATCACTGTAACCCCTGGAAACTCGAGGACAAGTTATTTCCTGGAGGAGGAGTATGTAACCCTGGTAAAATACTAGCCGCAATATACCACTTGGTTACAGAGAACTTCTCTTTAGCTCGATTGGTTGAGCGTCAGACTAGTAAGCCAGGGGTCCTGGGTTCTATTCCTAGCGGAGGCATTGAAATAAATAATGACCTCTGTTACATTGGCGTCCGTGTAGGAACCTGGGAATAGTACTTAGCCTTGCCCCACCAGTATCGCTGTAACCCCTGGAAACTCGAGGACAAGTTATTTCCTGGAGGAGGAGTATGTAGCCCTGGTAAAATACTAGTCGCAATATACCACTTGGCTAGAGAGAACTTCTCATCAGCTTGATTGGTTGAGCGTCAGACTAGTAAGCCAGGGGTCCCGGGTTCATTCCTAGCGGAGGCATTGAAATAAATAGATTTAAACAGGCAGGAAGTGTGAACAACAACGCTGTATACTCTTACCCTCAGTCTATGGAGTACATACTGTAAGCCAGCACCTCACCCTCTGGGTTCATACTAGTTACACATACGTACTTTATACTATAGATTACATAGACTGATAAATGATTTCTTCATTCTGTAAGCAGAATTTCACATGATTTCAGTCACTATGTGAGGCTTAGTTAGTTTATATATACCTAATGAAAGTTGTGATTTGACATGAAATTGTTGTAAATTCAAGTGGGTTTTTTAAAAATATGGTTTTTGTTCATCTAACCTACAATGTTACTCCTTGTGACATGATCAATACAAGCCAGGTAACCAATCGTACCTTAAACACCCAAGATCTCGGCCTTGATATACAGGTATCAATTATTCAACACTATCATACCTAAGTATTCTACAGCATTTCCGCCAGGATGTAGTCTATCAGCTAGCTGGTTTACATAGGAAAGTAAATAGCTGAATGAATACAATGGAAGAAAACGACAAAACAGAAGGCAATAGAATATGAAAAAAATGTTTCATCTCTTACATTCTAAGTTATTTTCAACACCCAGGTGCTTGTCAGTGTTCACCAAATTGACAGATGTATCAAGCTTTGGGCTAAGAAAAATACAGGTGTTTCTTCGATCAGGTTTTTAAAGATTTGTATACCATTATCCAGTAATAGGTAATTAGTCTAGCCTGCCCAGAACTTCTCTATCAGGTATGAAGATAATGATGACACAATACATGAAATATTTGCAGGTGATGAGAGATCAAGTGGACAGATCAAAACAAAAATTCATTGATTAAAATTATTGTTTAGTTTTGGTGTACATGTCACAAGGGCATGACGTACCACAGTTGTTTAAGATTTTATAAGTAGAATAATCAAAACGTGAGAGAATAAAATGGAGTTTAGGCTGTAATTTTTCTGATATTACTTCGAAGATGTCAAAGAATGTGCCTGTACAAACATGTTTTAATCTTCTCCTGTTCCACATTCTCATTTGTGCTAGTACAGCTGTTTATCAGTAAATATATCCAAAGCTGATGTTAAATTATTGGTGGGCAAATACATATGCTGAACTTACAGATGTATATATATATATATAAATCATCAGATCTGTTATAGTTATAGCAGTGTCATTAATAAAATTTCACTTACAAATTTATCTTGGCTGTTTACTCCTCTACAGTAAGCACTTAACATTTTTAAACTGTGTCAACTTGACTAACAGAGAGGGTAGGTGTTAATTTCCATGCTCATGCAGAACTGGAGAAGTGAACTGTTCTTGAAGATAACTTCTGTAAATATTAATGTATACATAAAGGTCTGGTTTTGTAGTGAAATATGCTTGAAAATTCTTGCTCTAACCTAAAAATTAATCCCTTTAGATAGAGGTCAAGCTGTGTCCGAAGTTTGCTGACCAGTGATCATGATATATAGAAGAACTGACCATCTACTGGTACCTGATTTACAGGCCTTTTATCATGATCTGTGTACACATTTAATCACTTTATGAGGGACTTGATCAACCTATTTATAGCACTCCTCCTGTGGTTGTGAAAACCTGCAGTAGTGAAATGTCAAACTGTCAGTTATATCTGGACAGGATCTGTATTTGTAATTATGTCTGAAATGTTACAGAGTAGTTTTATGGTTCATAAAATGGGGAATTTATAAATATTTTAAGGTGTGTGTCAAGGAAAAATGCTGCACATAATTAAAAAAATATTTTATATAATTTGTATAACTATTTCATATGAGTTGATATGTTGATAATGTTTTTGAGTTTTCCAATGATTTTGAAAATACTGTTTATGGGGTTAAATTTTAGGTTTGTTCAATGTTTTCGCCCCTGGTCAGCTCAAAGGAATATATGGACTATCATCTTCTCAATTTCAAAGAAAACAGTTTATAAAAGTACATAGATGATGTTCAGTGGATTTCTCTTTGATATCATATCAATACTTTATGAATATGACAGAATATATATATTTCACGAGTGCAAAGCACCAATGAAAGTTAAATGTAGCTATATTTTGTCATACAAGTTTTTATCAAATCAATGAAATTCTATATTTCACCGGCAAAATTGTGATATAAGCAGGTAGTAAAAAGCAAAGATCAATGAACACCTAGTAGTGAGATACCTTATTTCTGGATCATGCATAAGTCATGTATTAAAAGTAATACACATAGAATGTGACCAAGTCTGTAGGTATAGTCCTACCAAGTACATGTAGAATGTTACCAAGTCTGTAGGTATAGTCCTACCAAGTACATGTAGAATGTTACCAAGTCTGTAGGTATAGTCCTACCAAGTACATGTAGAATGTTATCAAGTCTGTAGGTATAGTCCTACCAAGTACATGTAGAATGTTACCAAGTCTGTAGGTATAGTCCTACCAAGTACATGTAGAATGTTACCAAGTCTGTAGGTATAGTCCTACCAAGTACATGTAGAATGTTACCAAGTCTGTAGGTATAGTCCTACCAAGTACATGTAGAATGTTACCAAGTCTGTAGGTATAGTCCTACCAAGTACATGTAGAATGTTACCAAGTCTGTAGGTATAGTCCTACCAAGTACATGTAGAATGTTACCAAGTCTGTAGGTATAGTCCTACCAGCCATTACATCTGGGTTCCAACCCTCCTCCTTGATTTCAACGCTACTGCAGGGTGGTGGTAGTTGAGGCTGTGTTGCATTGCTGCAACGTAACAAGACTATATGGCTGATCATCAGCGCCATTCAGGGTTAGTTCCACCATGGTCAATATATGTCCTGTCCATTGATTTAAATTAGTGGTTCCATTTTCGTAAGTTGCAATACACATTATGGCTGTGTATGATAATACAAAATGTATCAAGAGTCTGTTAAATTGTCCCTGTTTTATATTTAGGTATTTCCTTTCGCAATTCAAACAACGAAATTGTATTAGCTAGTTTTTCTGTTCACACACATGAAGATCTTTTTTGTGTTTTCTTCAGCTCGAAAATCCAAGGGAAAAAGATTATCTCTATTCAAGTACGATCTTCTAATCCCAGCCATTACCTGGGTTCCAACCCTCCTCCTTGATTTCAAACTGCAGGGTGGTGGTAGTTGAGGCTGTGTTGCATTGCTGGACTATAAAAAGGGTTAGTTCCACCATGGTCAATATATGTCCTTCCATTGGTGTGAAATTGTCCCTGTTTTATATTTTGGTATTTCCTTTCGCAATTCAAACAACGAAATTGTATTAGCTAGTTTTTCTGTTCACACACATGAAGATCTTTTTTGTGTTTTCTTCAGCTCGAAAATCCAAGGGAAAAAGATTATCTCTATTCCGATCTTCTAAGTCTGCCCTCCCAAACACGGAAACACTGGAACTTCACCATGTTCTTGGTGTGAAAATAAAACGTCGAAAAAAGGGTCGGAAGGACGGTGATGGAATGTGTCTAGGATTTATTGTATACACGTATGAATGCTTTGGACCAAACACGTTACGAGAAAGGGTTATAGAATTTGAACATCCTAGTGAAAATCTGTGTACAAAGTATAGCGAAAGGATATCCAACTACATCAGAGGTGAGTTTATTGTAATTTCTTGTTTTCTGTGTATTGATTGATTTTCATAGAGAATTAGTCATTATTTTGATTGTTTATTGATTCTCAAGTTCTTGTTTATTTAGAGACTTTCAAACTTCCTGATATTACAGTCAGTTTAGTTATTCACGTCCATTTGTTACCTTAGTGTTACTACACCATTCCTTAGCCTTCCATCAGAAACAAAAAAGGTGAAGATAGGATTAATTAGGTAGCTGTTGAAGAACAGTACTTCAAGGACATAGAGACTTTGCACGAATTCCCAACCTCATAGTCCATATGTAGATTAAAAATATCAATAAATTTTACATATATATGAACCACGAAGTTAGGAATTGAAGTTGTTTCATAACTCACATGCACTGTGCTTAAGGACTCAAATGGAAAAGTTGACAGGATTGCTATAAGGAAATTTAGCTGTGAAAGTCTTAAATGTGTATTTGAACTGTTCTTTAAGTGTTAACTGTGCCGTTGGACCATTGATACTACTTATACTTAATAACACAAGCATTGTTAACAGCTCATATTGAATCTTTGAGTAAATAGTTTGTGTGTAAAAATCTCCACATGAAATTCAGTCAGTTTGTATTCTCACATGTGATATTTTCAGAACTTCCTGGTCGACCACAGTCAGTGAAGCTGTTTATGCAAATTCTAGCCGGACATCACTTGAGTAAAGAGTTATACAAAAACAAAGTCTTGCCTCTGCTTCAAGCAGCAGGTGTTGATGTAGATTGTGTGGGTAGGTTGTCATCATTTTATACACATATTGGTATCGCATCTTCAAAGTCAGAGGGATTGTGGTGTTTACCTTGTCCATGTTTCCCCTTGTAGTTTCCATACTTGTATGTTACAAGGTACATTATGGTAAGGTGATGACCGCTGTCCACTACTAACATTTTTTAGATCTCTGTGACCTCTACTTGACCTTTCAAGTTTATTTCAATATTAACTGATAATTCTGAAGAGTCAATAAAATCTTGTTAATTTATGCATACAGATATGTCTAATGATACTCAGACTTGCATAGATACAAAATGGTCATGTGATTTGTTGCATACTTATATAAAATGAGGTCACCATGACCCAAGTTTGATATTTTTCTCCGTAAAGACTCACATTCAGTAAAATGACAATACTTCAAGTATTTCTCATCAAGTTTTTTATCGTGTACATCAGACATAAAATTTGGAATGTTATGTTGTTATGCCTGACAGTATATGTTGGTGTTAAAAAAGTAATTTCTCTCATATTTTGATAAATATGCTTGGTTATTTTATAAATGAATTAGAAATATGTTGTAAACATTTATTTAAATTTCCCTTCATCAGACAAATATCTAATATATCAAAACGTTTTAAGGCCTTTCATCATTTCAAAGAGTTTTTGATGACAAGTTGACATGTTGAATTATTAGATGTAAGTAAGAAGTCCATAATATTTGGGTCATTTAATATTTTTTCCCAGAAAATACTAACACATCTTACCTATATTTTACATAGTAATTCATTGTAATATTAAGATGTAATGTAGTGTATTTTGAAGTGTGAATCCAGTATTCTTGTATTCTTAAGGTCATTTAAGGTCAAGGTCAAATTTTTGTTATGCTCTCATAACATTTGATGAATATCAGTATTATTGTCACTTGTAAAGTAGCTTGAGCACTTTGTCCCTTTATTTGATCATTAGAGTATTTTCAAAAGAAAAAAGGAGGTGTCAGATATCTATAGGGGAGATAGAGTTAAATAAGCCTGACATAAAAAAGGATATAATCGTTATATGCTTACTATGAAATATATGTCTTTTTTTCCAGAAATACAACATTCTGAATATATCAAACAAGAAATGGTGCACATCAATTTGGATGATTATGACTGGTGAGTACAGTATACGGAATAGGGTCTCAAGTGTGCATTTAGTATGTCTACCCAACCAAACTGAAGTTTTGTTAGAGATTTTAAAAACAGGCTTTCTTTACAAGAATCAACATTCTTGTCAACAACAAAAATCATCAAATAATATTTAACAGTGACTGGGAGTGTTGTAGATGTTTAATGAGTTCATCTTTCTGACAACAGTGACTAGGGGTGTTGTACAAGTTTAAAAAGATCCTCTCTCTGACAACAGTGACTAGGAGTGTTGTACAAGTTTAACAAGATCATCTCTCTGACAACAGTGACTAGGGGTGTTGTAGAAGTTTAACAAGATCATCTCTCTGACAACAGTGACTAGGGGTGTTGTAGAAGTTTAACAAGGTCCTCTCTCTGACAACAGTGACTAGGGGTGTTGTAGAAGTTTAACAAGATCCTCTCTCTGACAGCAGTGACTAGGAGTGTTGTACAAGTTTAACAAGGTCCTCTCTCTGACAACAGTGACTAGGGGTGTTGTAGAAGTTTAACAAGATCATCTCTCTGACAACAGTGACTAGGGGTGTTGTAGAAGTTTAACAAGATCCTCTCTCTGACAACAGTGACTAGGGGTGTTGTAGAAGTTTAACAAGGTCCTCTCTCTGACAACAGTGACTAGGGGTGTTGTACAAGTTTAACAAGATCATCTCTCTGACAACAGTGACTAGGGGTGTTGTACAAGTTTAACAAGATCATCTCCCTGACAACAGTGACTAGGGGTGTTGTAGAAGTTTAACAAGATCATCTCTCTGACAACAGTGACTAGGGGTGTTGTACAAGTTTAACAAGGTCCTCTCTCTGACAACAGTGACTAGGGGTGTTGTAGAAGAAGATCCTCTCTCTGACAACAGTGAAGGTCCTCTCTCTGACAACAGTGACTAGGAGTGTTGTAGAAGTTTAACAAGATCATCTCTCTGACAACAGTGACTAGGGGTGTTGTAGAAGTTTAACAAGATCATCTCCCTGACAACAGTGACTAGGGGTGTTGTAGAAGTTTAACAAGATCATCTCTCTGACAACAGTGACTAGGGGTGTTGTACAAGTTTAACAAGCTCATCTCTCTGACAACAGTGACTAGGGGTGTTGTACAAGTTTAACAAGATCATCTCTCTGACAACAGTGACTAGGGGTGTTGTAGAAGTTTAACAAGATCATCTCTCTGACAACAGTGACTAGGGGTGTTGTGTACAAGTTTAACAATGTCCTCTTTCTGACAACAGTGACTAGGGGTGTTGTACAAGTTTAACAAGATCATCTCTCTGACAACAGTGACTAGGGGTGTTGTAGAAGTTTAACAAGATCATCTCTCTGACAACAGTGACTAAGGGTGTTGTTGACTTTTATTGTAGAATTTCAATAGGATCATCTGTTTGTGTTTTAGCATTGCTTGTATGGGAGGCGATGGTACAGTCAACCAAGTGGCTACAGGTTTGATGAACAAGATTCAGGCAATTAATGATGTGGAGATCAAGTACGGCTTCACCCCAGTCGCCTGTAATGTTCCTCTGTGTATCTTTCCAACAGGTGAGATTTTGTCCTGGTCTGTCCTGCCATTATGGAAATGATTAAAAATTTCAGAATTATCTCCATTTTCATTGACCAAAGAGATTAAGTACTGTGCTTTTTGCACCTGAGGTTAAATCTTATCTTGTTTACTGAAGGAAGCACATCTTAAGTGTATGCACTGTTTTTTTATCCGAATTGATTGGAAATAGTAAATTGGTTAGAATTAATTGTGGTGAAGGAATAGAAAAAAATGTTATCTTAGATATGAAGAATGTGGCCAAAATAAGGGAACAATGAGAAAACAAATGTTAATTTCAAGGAAAGGAGAAAATTAGATATGAGAAATTGCAGAACTTTGATTACAAAGTGTGAAGATCCAGTATTTTTGCAGGAACAACAAACCAGATTGCTGGATCTGTCCTTGGTATTGGTGATACTGTTACGGCAGCTATTCATATGATTCTAGGTGAGACATCGTCGTTTGTTAGTCTTTATAATCACAATCAATAGCTACATTTACCAACACTTAGTTTTCTCCCTAAATACCTGGGTTACAACTTCAGACCTATATATATGTAATTAACTTTCGGTGATTTTCGGGTATCATGATTCTAGGTGAGACATCGTCGTTTGTTAGTCTTTATAATCACAGTCAATAGCTACATTTACCAACACTTAGTTTTCTCCCTAAATACCTGGGTTACAACTTCAGACCTATATATATGTAATTAACTTTCGGTGATTTTCGGGTATCGTCGGTTAGCATGTGATACACGCACGGGTAGAGTGGGGTAAGGTCATTTCGACGCGCGTTACTCGTCAGGTTCAGACGTGTAAACTTAAAAAAAAAAAAGAAAAATGCTGTGAGTGTGTATAATATAATATACGGGCAGAATAGCAAAAGCATTGACATTGTTGTGGTTGTATGAACGAATTGTGGTAATTAAAAGAGTAGCGAGTATCCTTCCATTCCTTGTGTTGTAGTTTCTTTAGAAAGTAATTAATTTATATTCAGACAAAGGGAGAATATAAACAAATTTTGTGTAGCTGATATGAATATCTTTGTTGATGTATTTGACTTTCAGCAGAGCTCTCAGCTACAGTATTTATCTTCATTTATTTGATTGTGGCAATTTAAACCTTGATAGAAGGCTCCTCATTTCACTTGTCATGTCCTTTTAAGGATTAATCCTCAGTATAATTGTCTGCCCTCTTCAAAATGTCAAAATTTGTTACCATGACAAATGACCAGTGTGAAGCGAACTTATCTTCTAACTTATTCTATTTGAATTACCAACTTGAAGGAAATGCTCCAAAATGCACTGTATTATGTTTCCAACATGATATTTTGTACCAGCTGTTTGACACTTATAAGTGTTTTAAATGTGTGTTATCTATCAAACAGGAAGTTGATATGAGTATTAGAGGCCATTATTTATACCAATGTCTCTGCTAGGACTTAGAATGATAACTTATCGTTAACCGTTAAAGATGAAAAGGTTAAACGGTGATATGTAGGCTTTTATTTTTGACAGGTAACTACAGACAGGTGGATATATGCTCAGTTTATTATGAGGAGAAGTTGTTGAAGTGGTCATTTATATCCCAATACGGCTTTGCAGGAAATGTGCTTAACATGTACAATCGATATAAACCGAAGTTGGGTGTCAAAGGTCTGGACGCTGCAGTGTTAAAATCACTCACCAAGTCAAAACTGAGGTAAGAGGATGGTTCCATGTATGACTTTAGTATCCTAAATCTCAGGCACTGGACTTTGATTGGTACAAAACCTACTGTACACATTCTGATTGACAGCCTATATACATGTATTGCAGCTATTTCAGTAAGAATTATGTATGATTCAATTCAATCATACGTATTCATGTTAGTAATTCAAATATATAGCCCATGTTATTTCATATGAAATGATCCTGATCTGACACTTTCTGTTGTAAGTTAACGTCATGGTGATTTAAAAGATCAGAAAGTATCTACAAGCACCAGTATCAACAGAATGAATCTAGTCTGTGTTTCTGTGAATCTCCATGATAATTTCAGAGGTACTTTCAGAATAATTTATATTTCCTCCAAGTAAGCCAGAATAGCTAAATTTACAACTGAATACAAGATATATTTCTTACTCATACTCAAGGATATTTTATTCAGCATTGTAATAATGCAAGAAGTAATTTTAACACTACTTTTCAAAGGCTAAAAGTACATGTATGTATTAATCTTCAAGCATTTCTGATACAATGAATTGGGAAAAAGTACTTCTCTCTTGCAGGCCGTATGAATGTGAGGTTGAGTACATTCCAGCAGACCCCTTACCCCACGCTGGAGATAAGAATATGGACAATGAGTTCTTAACTTGTAGGACAGGGTAAGTGCCTTTCTTTGTTTATACATGTAAAGGGGTATCGAATTTAGGTAAAAGTATAGTTGTTGCTTGATGGCCCCAGGCTTTTAATGAGAGGCAGGCATATACAAGGGCTGATTGATAAGTTGTGAACCTCATGTTTAAGGGTTTAACTTTTTGCAGACATATTGCAATATTTTGTTCAACATAATCCCCTTCAGTATCTATACACTTTTATGAGTGATGTTTAAGGGCCTCAATGCCATTTTCAAAGAAATGCTTGTCTTGACAGTTCAGAGAGTCCTTCTCTTCATGTCTGATATCATCATCTAACTGAACGTGGGTTTCAGAAATGGCCTTTTCCAATTTTGTCTGATGGAGCGAGATTAGACAAATAAAGCAGATGCGCAATTAATTCAAAGCTGCAATTGTGGCAGCCTTGACAATGACATGGTGGAAAAACCTTTTCTGAGTTTTCAGCGGCACTTGAGTTTAATAATTTCTCTTAATTGCCAAAGAAATGATGCATAATATGTTCCATTCATTGTGTGTCCCTTTTGCAGATAGTCTACTATCAGAATACTTTTAGCATCTTATATAACCGGTGCCATAACCTTTTCAGGGGATGGAACATTCTTTTCTTTCTTTGGCGGGGATGAACCAAGGTGCATCCATTGTTAAGACTGTTGTTTGGCCTTTGGGGTGATATGATGGACCCACGTGTCATCAATAGTCACAAACCTCTACAGAAAGTTAGCAGGATCTGCCTCTAATAGGTTCAGATTAACACGCGACAAAGTCTGCCTGATGTGCTTCTGATCAACTGTCAGAAGTCTTGATGGACTGATCTTCCACAAAAAGGGAATGTATTCTTTCCTGTGAAACCCCAACTGTACTGGCTACACATCTCCCTGTTATTGACCTGTCAGCCATAAAAATATCATGGACCATATCTTAGGTTGCCATAGAGACAGGCCTTTGAGGACTGGCATTATCCCCAAGGCTCTACCTGTCATGCTTAAATTCTGCATGTAATGTTGGTACAAATATCCTTACATGCTAGACCTTTCTTATGATAATATTGAATCACTGTTCTTTCAGTGATTTTGTCCATTTTGCAAAAGTCACTTGCCTTGTTCACTTTAGTGTTACCTCTTCAACATAAACTGACCAAATGACACCAGTCTTCTGGTACACAGCCTTAAATAGTCAGGGAATAGTAGCACTGAAAAAGTACATCTCTGCTTAATTTCTTCAACACAAGGCTCACAACTTTCCAGTCATCCCTCGTAGTATACAATATCAGTGCTCTGTTCTGTGCTCTCCATTTCCAGATCGATGTCATATCTTGAGAACTTTTCAACAATCTGGTTCATTATTCAGTAACTACAGTTTTTTTGATATCACACTGTATTTTCCGTGATTAATTATCATCTCCTTAAGCATGCAAGGGAAAGAATTTCCTGATAAAACTACTAAATGATATGTGTGTATTCTACAGGTGTAATAGATGCTGGACAGAGGTTATTGAGGAAACTCCAAGTGTTACCCATGACACACAGGTACAAGCATTCGACCCTCTCAACACCTCCAACAACAGCGAAAGTTTCATGGGTAAGTTTAAGATCAACATGCAGGTTTTTATTGAGGATGATTACACTGGAAAAAGTAAATATGAGTCCTGCACAACAGGATTAGATCCTTAATCTAATAATTATTTCCATTCAGTGTGGATCAGATATATAATTGTTTCTATAAAGTTGATTATACCAGTCTCTTTATCTAGTCTACCATGATATACCATGACTTTGTTTTCTTTCTGCTACAGATCTAGCCAATTTAGAAAGTCCGTGGAAGACATGCAAGGGTTCATTCCTCAATGTGGGACTGTTCTGTATTCCCGGCAACGGTGAAATGGCTCCTGAGGGCTTAGATAAATTCTGTCATCTGTGTGATGGCTCCATGAATTTAATCATGGTAAAGAATACATCACGCAAGGATTTTGTTAGGTTTTTAAAACGACACAGCAATTCCAAAAATCAGGTTTGTATTTAAAATTTACATGAAGATAACATTTATTCTATTTGGCTTTGAAATGAGAGGACAGTATCATCTCAGCATCATTTTGCATTAAGGAGCAAACCATTGTCAAAAACAAATCAAATTTTTTACTGATATGATCCCTTTCCTAGGGTCCTGAATTGTTAAATGGTAACACCTTAGTGTGATTGCCTAAAATTTGCTGCCTACTTTTCTATCAAAATACAATTTCAACACTCTTATAAGCTGATTTGATAAAAAATCTTTAGTAACATTTTGACCAGATTTTACGATATTTAGATCATTTGAACACTTGAAACTTCGATATTTGAATTACAATAGGCTAACATTGTTCCTTGTAGTTTGCAATGCCATTTGTTGAGAGGGTCCGCGTAAAAGAAGTACGATTTAAACCACGATCACGGACAACATGGAACTACAAGGATCACTCTTACAGTGAGATAGAGTACAGAGAGTCTGCAGTCAAACACAGGCGTGGAACAATACAAAGTATGGATGTTCTGGAGATTGCAGATGAACGGACAACTCCCAAGCACCGTCATACACAGAGTTTACAAATGCTTGACAATATCAGTGATATTGACGATGACGAGGATGAGGACGAAGACGAGGGTATAGATGATGTTGATGATTTCTCATCAGATCCTGCCAGTAGAAAGGTAATATTATATTTAGTTATAACAAAAGGTTTATTCTAAATTATTTGAGCATTTACATTTCAGGGCTAAAAATGTGAGTTTCTACTTAGTAATTGTCTTTTGTATAAGAGAATGATGTTAAATTGATCTGACGCAGTCATTGTAAATCTGACATGGGTTACCATGTAAGTATATAACAGGTTTTTAACAACAAATTGTGAACATCTCTTTGACATATTTTTTCATTACTTTTTGAAGGGCTCTGGTGGGACTAATAGAAATTCAGCTGGAAGTAGCCGTGGATCTGCTGGTAGTCGAACAAAAATAAAAAATGGTGATGTCATCATAAATACAGCCCAGCAGGAAAAGCAGCTGGTTGGGCCTCAGTATCGGATGACGTTTGCTGAGAAAGATAAGTTAAAGAGAAAGACAAAGCAAATAAAAAAGGAAGAAAAGATAAAGGAGAAAGAAGCAGCTAAGTCTAGATCAGTGTGGAATTTAGATAATGAAATTTGCACTGAACAGGAACTCAGTTTTAGGTAAGTATTTGTTAATAATAAAGGAAACCTTGTTTTTATCCTGAAACAAAGGATGTCCTAGCGTCAACAGTTGTTGATGATCTGATCATATGACAAAATCTTGTAATACTGGGTAATTCTTTGACTGATTTTCCATAAAAGTGAGTCACATGATGTGTTGAAGATATAAAACCTTGTCAGTATATTTCACGGACTACCATGGTAATTACAATTTCTGCTTGTAAAATGGTTTTCCTTTTTGTTTACAGGGTACATCATGGCCTGATAAAAATCTCTGGCCTTGGAATATCACAGTATACGCATGTGTTCTCAGACTCTCCAGTATTCTGTCTGTCTCTGATGGGCTAACAGATATCAACACATTCTCATCAATTCTGTCTGTCTCTGATGGGCTAGCAGATGTCAACACATTCTCATCAATGTTGTGTGTCTCTGATGGGCTTACAGATATCAGCACATTCTCATCAATTCTGTATGTCTCTGATGGACTGACAGATATCAGCACATTCTCATCATATTCCTTTCAAAAGACTTGTCAAAATTATATTTCAGCATTCATTCTAAAACTGGTCTAAATATCTCACCACATCTGTGTTGTGAATATGAGATGTCATTACATATCACCTGAAATCTTCCACAAAGGATATATATTGCCACAACCTAAGAGCCATTTCCACAACATGGATGTCATTGTTAGAGACTGTCAGTATTATGTGACAATATAAAAATTGTATGATGAAATAATATCGCCGACAGCTAAGAATCTCCAATCATCAGTAAGCATATCATGTTTTGAAGTGTAACCACTATATAAAATGGGTGTTGAAAAGTGCGCCACACTGTAAGGAATTCTTGGAGTCATATTTTAAGACTTTCTTTATCTTGTCTATTGACAATGTGTAGTCTTATGTCTTAATTATTACTGTATTTATCTGTCAAAAAGCTAATGTCTGGTATCCCATCAATATTGATTGCTATTTAATAGAATTATCAAGAAATGCTATCTCGCTGTCCTGTAATATGCCCACGCCATGAGTTTTTTACAGTTGGAGATAGGCCCCTGGGCTTATTACACGATAAATACAGTTATCTTTAGTGTTCAAATCTGTCGCATAAGAAGTTGTTCACAATGAATATCATCAGTAAATCACAGGATGTCAGTAACATTTACCTGCTGACTGTCATGGTTATTTACAATTGAGCATAATATCTACCCTGTAAGAGAGGTACAATAGATCATATGATGTTATATTTTAAAAACCATTGCTGTAACCACGTTATCAATATATTCTAAGTAACGATCACAATTAAATTTTTAAGTCTACAATATAAAAAGAAATTGAAATGATCTTATCCATAAAATTACCTTTTATGGTATTTTTATTTGTTTTTCAGTTTATATATAAAATATACAAAATAAAAAAACCAGAAGTTCTCTACATTCAGAAATTTTGTATTCTTTCTTGATAAGATAAATACTGAGATGTGACCTGGTTGGCTGAAAAGGATTCAGAATTAATAAATGTTTTATTACATGTATTATGAAGATGAAACAAAAAACCGTGAAAGATTGTCGTACAATAATGATGTTGAAATCTTCATAAACATCATGTATTTTTTACTTCAGAAACTGAATACAAATATTTTAGATTAGAATTTCAGTAAGACAGTGCTTGTCTAGAATAGATTGATGTAGTTGTATTTGTTAAATGTTTTAATTTTTTGTGAGATGATAAGAAACATGTCAATGAGATGAAATTTAGAACAATACTATGCCACAAGTGTTCTTAGTTAGCATGGCCATTTTGAGAACTCACCCTGTATAATGTAACAGATGTTAAGAATGTAAGATGGTTGTGGTTTATTTATGTTGTAGGCAATGAATGTCTATTACACTTGTCATAGAGAGTGAAAATTTGTTCAAATTATACAGATTCAGATTACATTAAAGTGATTGATTGCTCAATGAACGTATATATCATAGCTGTAGGTCTTTTTTGCCATGTATAAGTATCTTTTTTTCACTCCTAAATGTTGATGGAATATCAAATCAGAAATACTGTATTAGTGCTTGAATCATTCAATTTCTACTCCAATCAAACAGGCCATATGCTGAATCACGTTGTCAGTCATATTGAGGCCATACCATTTCATGGATAAGTTAAGAACAGCCAGTTGAGAATGATTCTTGTTAATTAGAAATGCTAGAACTGATGGCTTTCCACTGCCCTTTGCTATATTGCCTAATCTCTGCCAGTTTAGGGTTCATCATTGCTTGCCTAATTTGGTGTCATTTTATTTTAAATTTTAATTTTGTTTATAATTCCCCTTTTTACTGTTCCTGGTCATCTGAAACTTTCAGCAATCATCCTTTTATCAAGAAAAATGTGTTTTTATGCCAAACTTATTTTCTAGTAGTATTGTCTCATTATTCAATGTCTCATTTCACATACATTTTTGTATTACCATAGTACAAATATCTTGATTTGTTCATTACAGCAAATTTCACAATCTATGCAAATTTAAATTATTTTGCTGAAAGCAGTGCATATCAAAGATCTTTGGTGTTATTATGACATTGTTTACTTAATTCCAAGTAATTACAAAAAATCTAAATGATTTTCAAAATATTTAGTTTAGTCTTGATTGCCAAGGTTAAAAGAATACATGATTAATCATGGGATTTCAATGAAAAGTTAGATTTTGCAAGTTCAGTACTGTAAATAATTTGTAATTTATGAAATAATTTATGAAATAATGTGTTATTTATGAAATAATGTGTAATTTATGAAATGTTGTATACACATATCAGCTTGCACTCATTCCATATACACCTGTTATATCATAATTTGATGTGTTGGTGAATTCATTTGTGTTGTGCTCACTTGTTATAAAATCATGGTACATATAATATATATACATGCATATATTTCCATGTTAAGACAATTATATTTTATATATATAGTTTTCCCATTTTAAAACCATATACTAGTTGAAGAAAATTACATTATATTTATTGAGGAATACTTTTTCAAAGATGATGATAGGAATTTAAGTATATTACTGTTTTAATTTTATGGGAATACCTTCTGATAATCTATGAATGATCTTTTTCATCTTAAGACAAGCAGTATACAAATATACATCCTAAATTTGACAGAACAGCTAGCTCTGTCCACCTCACTAGCAATCACTTCTTCTTTCCTTACTAAAGAAACCATTAACATATGGTCCTATGGTAGAATGATTTTCCCAAACATGTAAATCATGTGTGAGCAGGGATGTACTGTTTTCTAAAGCCTTCTGTCTATTCCTGAACCGTAATTGACTTATCAAAAATTCAAAGTACTTTGAAAAGACTTTTCCGATTTTAATAAATTCTTTAATATTTCTTGGACAGTAGTCAGAGAAAGCATACTACAGAATTCTTTTTCCACTAGTTTACAGTATTTAAAGATTTCGATGGAAACATAGATGCAGGTTCAATGTTTGAAGATGAATTATTGATAATATAATCATATTTAATATTGAAATTAAATGTAATGAATAGTGTGAATATTTATGAATGTAGTCCTTGTTAGATTATACAGTATTATATTATAATGGAAGGTATTAATGCTTTAATATGCTGCCTGTTGATTCTTTATTTAAACTAGATACCCTATATAAAACAAATAACTGAATTTATAAATGTTGTAAATTTAAATATAAGTATAACTATAACCTCAGAATTTGTAAAATGAGTTTAAGATACAATTGTTGAATAAAGTGATATTGAATATCATTTTCAGTGTAAAAGTGGGCAAGATCAAAGTAATGTCAAGTTCACAAAAATAGAGCAAGGGTATATTTAACTTGGATTATTGTAGTGCTCTTCCTAAAGGGATCAAAATGCAGAAAGTGAAATTTAATTAGTGAAAATAAGTGACTGTAATCGTTGTTTGTAGTATACAATTAATTTCTCAACAATGGTAGAACTTTTGCCTCTTTATCGACATGGATTTTCAGCGTCCTCCTTTAATTCATTTCCTAGTAATTACAAAACATTTTTCAGCTTTATGGTTGAATTTTGTTAAGTCTTAACTTGATTTTTGAAGTTGCAATCTCCTTTTGGAAAAACTATATAATGAACTCTTACATCTGCTAAATATATACCAAAATGATCATTTAAAGTCTGCTAGAACCAGATGTTATACAAGACCTAGGAGTCTTGATGTACTGTGTCCATAGAAATCTGTGTTTGTACATATATATATACATATACATTGTTTGTTGTTGTATAATCCGTCCACGGTTTATTGCCAAATAGTGAAATCCATCCTATCACAAGTATTTGTATATTGTATAATTATTGAGCTATTTTCAGGTATATATGAGGATTTATTAAACCTCGAATGGCGACCTTTCTCTCAGCTGTACAGAGTTCATTAATCCATATATTCACCTGAAAACAGGGCAATAATTGTTTTATTGTGTGACAACAATCCACGCTTCTGATTGGTCAAAATTACAGTACAAGTTATTAAATACCTTTTTTCATTTATGAGATGTTCAACAGGATATTGGACCTCGGGTACACAGATTCTGTCTGTTTTGGTGTGGCATTACAATATGTTTAGACCTATAAGAGGAGCTGTGACCAATCAGCTGTAGTAATATGGCATTCATATAATAACTAGTATTATTTGCATATATATTAAATCCATCCATTCATGCAAATCCATTCCTTCATTTGAATATGTCTGTATTCACCAATGAAATCAATTCATTCTTCAAAGTGAATCTTTATCCACTAATGAAATCCCTCCATTCCTGAAAGTGAATGTGTATCCACCAATGAAATCCATTCATTCCTGAAAGTGAATGTTTATCCACCAATGAAATCCCTCCATTCCTCAACGTGAATGTTTATCCACCAATGAAATCCATTCATTCCTGAAAGTGATTGTTTATCCACCAATGAAATCCATCCATTCCTCAACGTGAATGTTTATCCACTAATGAAATAAATCTATTCACTAAGCTTTTTATTTTCAAATGACTTTTTTACTTGATGAAATTCCTTATACATATAAAATAGTCAAGTTTTGTTTGATTAGAATGATATTCTGTCAATAACTGAGATAAAGTTGTGTATGATATGTACATCTACCTGATGTCAATAGATTATTGATTACAAGATTTGGTGTTGCTTCACTTTAAAAACCAAATATATATATAAAAAAATCTTCTATTTAAAGTCTTTTCAAACTTAAATGTATAATACATATAATTTTAGAAGGAAAAGATGAATTCTGTCACATACTTTTGTTTTAACGTGTTGAAATATTCTAAAATATAGTGATTCA